CACCTATTGACTGAAAACCATCAAGTCATTGCTCTCAACTCCAGCTCTTTTGCTGCCAACCGATTCAACACATATATTCTCTCGCAAACAATGAGAGAATACCATGGCTTCTCTTGTATGATCTAAACCGCTTACCAGCCCAATTGATCCTCATACTCTCTCTCTCTGCCTCCTCTCCATTCCCCGCTGACCAGCTACCTTTCAACAGGGTGGTAACCTTTTGCCTGAGGGCATCGATGTTCAACCTATCTATGCGGGAATTGCCATTGCTGTCCTCTCTGGCGCATGCATCTCAACTTATATTATAAAAACCAAAAAGGAGGATGAGAATCCAGGACTGTTCAAGTCCTTCTTCCTCTTCTTCTACTCATCATTTCTTAAGCCACACCAGGGCGACACCAAGGGCACCCAGCAGGATGCCTTGGAGAGCTTCTACAAGAAGCAAGCCGGGGCTTATGATGCCACTCGCAAAGTCTTGCTTCGCGGCCGTGAGGATATGCTGGCACTAGTTGCTGCCCAGCTGAATGCCAAGGCCAAGGCCAACTCGGCCACTGCAGACAAGAGTGAGAAACGACGTATTTGGGTCGATGTATGTTGTTGTGTTTTGTTGCCAATGGTTCACCCGTGATTCTGATATGAGTAATTCTTAGATTGGCGGCGGCACTGGCTGGAACATTGAGGCCATGTCTGCTTTTGTCGATGTCCCCAACTTTTTTTCCAGCGTCTACCTCGTCGACTTTTCCCCATCTCTCTGTGAGGTCGCCCGGAAGAGATTCGAGAGACTGGGCTGGAAGAACGTCACAGTCGTCTGTCAAGATGCCCGCAAGTTTCGTCTCGAGGACTACGAGGCTGGAATGCCCGTAACCCGAAGCCCGCGATCTCCTGTTCTCAGCTACTTCTCCCAGCAGCGCCCAGAGCACGGGGGAGCAGACCTGATTACCATGTCATACAGTCTTTCCATGATTGTGAGCTCCAGAATCCATCGCGCCATGCTTTTTGTCCACAAACCACTGACTCCCACCGCCTAGCCCGACTATTACTCTGTAGTTGACTCAGTGGCATCCCTGATGTCCCCAGACGGAATCATGGGAGTTGTTGACTTTTATGTCCAGAACCAGATTGACTTCTCCTTCCGGAACTACACTGGCGGTCTTGTCGACCGCCACACCAACTTCTTTACCCGCAGCTTCTGGCGATCTTGGTTTGATCTGGACAGAGTTGGACTTGAACCCAGCCGCCGTGATTACCTCGAGTACAAGTACGGCACTGTCCTTTCTGCCAACTGCCGCAACCGCGCCCTTGGTGCCATCCCATACTACATCTGGGTCGGTTGCCACAAGAAGCCCTTTTCTTCTTCCAGCTTGCCCCATGAAATTGTTGAGCGTATTGACGCCTTGGCAACTGAGTCTCCCTACCTCGGCCCAGCCAACCAAGGCGATGCCCTGACCCGTGCCATCGAGAGATCCGCTCCCGAGATCCGCTCCAAGGCTTTCCTCACTGCCGTGGAGAATCTCAGTGCCAACCTGCCCCTGCCTTCGTTCTTCTACCAGAACCACCACTGGCGCATCTACTACGATGACCAGCTCCAGAAGCACAAGCAATTCAACGACGAGTATATTTATGCTTTCACTTGGGAAGACACTCGCGTTGATGAGCGTCTGCTCAACCTTGGTCCTGATGATAAGGTCCTTGCAATTACTTCTGCTGGTGACAACATTCTCTCTTACCTGACCAAGTCCCCTGCCCGTGTTCATGCAGTTGATCTGAACCCCACTCAGAACCATCTTTTGGAACTCAAGGCTGCCTCCTACACCGCCGGTCTCCCTTATGACGACTTCTTCATGATTTTCGGTGATGGAAAACACCCTCGGTTCCGTGAGATTCTACTGAACCAATTGTCTCCCCACCTGTCCAGTCGCGCTTTCCAATATTGGCTCAAGAACATCCACGTGTTCCAGAACTCCTCTGGATATGGTCTCTATGATACCGGTGGTTCTCGTCATGCCATTCGTGTTTTCCGTTGGATCGCTCGCATTTTTGGTCTCCGGTCCATCGTCAAGAAGCTCCTCGAAACCAAGACCCTTAACGAGCAGCGTGAGATCTGGCGCAACAGGATTCGACCCGCCCTTTTGTCCAAGCTTGTATGCAACTTGGTTGTTGCCCAGGAGAGTTTCCTGTGGGCCGCTCTTGGTGTCCCCAAGAACCAGCTTGCTATGATTGAGGATGACCATGCCAAGTCCGAGGTCGTCGAGACCAAGCAGGCAAAGAACACTCGTTCGCATGCCATCTGGCACTACATGGTCAACACCCTTGATCCTGTGGCCGAGGGGACCCATATCGCTGAGGATAACCCGTACTACTATGTGTGCATGGCTGGAAAGTTCTCTCGCAAGTGCCACCCCGACTATCTGAGCCCCAAGAACCACGCCAAGCTGTCTCGCCCCGGTGCCCTTGAAGGCCTTCGAATCCACACTGATGAGCTTGAAGAGGTCATTTCTCGCATCATGCCTGGCACCCTCACAGTCGCAGTCGTCATGGACAGCATGGACTGGTTTGATGTCGGCTCCCAGGCTGCAAACGCACAGGTCAGCAAGCTCAACCGCGCTCTGAAGATGGGTGGCCGTGTTTTGCTTCGTTCTTCCGCCCTGAGCCCTTGGTACATCTCAGTCTTCAAAGAGCATGGGTTCAGCGCGAAGCGACACGGCGCCCGCCTTGACGGTGCCTGCATTGACCGTGTCAACATGTATGCTGGCTGCTGGATTTGCACTAAGACCGAGAACCTCCCACCCCCAACCCCTGAGATGGAGCGTGCTACCGGCGCCGACATCACAAACTTCACCCTGTAAATCTCTCAGCATTACCTGTGTGGCAGGAATGGACTAGGCTTTTGTAGAAAGGGCATTGTTCAACACCGTGTACCTCGGAATGTGAAGAGTTTCCTTGGCGAATATTTGTTCCAATAAAAACTCAAGGAAGGGACCATGCCTCATTTATAACATGAGGGCTGGAATGAAATGAATAGGACTTATCATGAAAGGGAAAATTGATTAAGAAAGAATGACCTTGATATTTTAGCAAGAAACGTTTGACAGAATGACACAAATCACACTGATTCCGCACCACTCCTTCTCATAAACCCTTGAATTTACTAAATAAGTACTTTTCTGAACAAACTCTCGTTCCTACTAAACTCAGAAGAGCAGAATAATGATAGGGCAAAGTTTTTAAAGTCATACTAAGCCCTCGGCAAGTAACATCCGCAAGAGTAATATTGTAGCGATAGTTGTTCCACGTCATTTTGTAGAGTTCTCGCTGACAAATGCCGTATTTGTTGAACCTATCAACACCCGCTATGTATCTAATCAACACGGACGGAGAAGTCCTAAATTTTAGAAAAGGGAAGAGGCTTGCCCAGCGAGGTGGTAGGGATATATCCCAACCCTCCGTGATCACTGGAGGGCCGGAGAGGAGTGGCATGCGAGGAAGCTGTGGTTATATTTCGTCTATCAAAGACAAGGAGCCATACAGCAAAGTGATACTAACACGCTTAATAGGAGCCCTGTATTCTTGGCTCGTTCTATTGGAATTCTGATTCTATCATGGCCATCTCTCGGAGTCAACGAGAACAATCCCATAGTAAGAATAGAATGAAAAGTTGTCATTGATTGGGCGCAGATGCGCCACCCAGATATGAAATCTCGAGAAGGACAAATAAAAGTGAATCTTTTTTGTTTTCGTTCCTGAAAGCCATGATAGTTTGTACACATATGCCCCTTCCCCGGGCGCCCAAGTCTAATCAGTCAGCGCCCAGCCGCGTCCGTTACCGAAGAAAACCCCCCTACCTCTCTCCAAGATCACACCTATGCCTTCCAGATCCTCTTGATAGCCTCCGTGACACCAACATCGTTCGTCTCGAACTCATACAGTCCCACGCCGACGGTGACGGTCGCCAGGTTCAGGGCCCACCAGAAGACCTTGTGGAGACGGGGCCAGCCGCGCTTGGGGATGTAGTCGGTGACGACCTGCTGGAAGCCCATGTGCGAGTGGAGGAGGACGGCACCGCAGAGGATCGCATCGGTGAAAGGGTTGAGGGACCCGGCGGCGAACGGGGCGATGGTGAGGGGGACGAGGGATGCGGCGAGAAGACGCTCGGTGGCCCAATGGTAGGAGCCGTGGGCGGAGTTGGGCTCAGGGACAAAGGCAGGTTCGTTTACTAGAGGTTAATAGTCCGTTAGTTATTCTGAGCCGAGTAATATCGATTTTGCCGCGGATGTCAGCGAGGAGCAATTGGCCGTACCTGAACCCTGGATTTTCTCTGTAGAATAATGGTCAGCATGGTCTCGACAGCTAGGAGTTCCAATTGAATAGCACTTACGAGGACCGGGTGGCAGGAACGCAGGGCGCTTGCTGGAAGTGTGGAAAGCCGCAACAACGGCGGGACGAGCAATGGCAGCTCGGGTCGCGACGGAAGAGATGGAGGCGCATCGGGATGCCATGGCAGTCTGCCTCAGCAGAGAGGGGCGCGCAAAGGAGGCCATTGTGAATTGATCTTGTGTACGGTTCGATGGCGCGCCCAATGGATCAGCTTCGTCGATATCTGGACCACGAGTGCAGAGCAGTGGAAGTTGGCGGGTGGTGGTGACGATCTAGGAAACCTCTATTGCCGAGGATCTTGAATTACACGCTTTCTGATTGGCCCGATGGGTTCCGAGAGTCACAAGCGGACGGGTGAAACGGAACGGAATAACCGCCCACCGAGATCTTCAGCCGAAGGGTTCTTTGATTGGACATGTTTTCGAAGTGGGTCAGAGACCCGAATTGTGTGAATCTACTTCCACTTTTTTTAAGGTGGAAGCTTTTTTTTTGCAGCTTCTGCTATCTTATCTGAGGTTGTCAATGCGACAACTCTCAAAATGTTCATGACAATCTCCAGCATACAACACTGATCCTCGAATCGATCCTTACGCATATGGTCCAGATCGATATAATACATAACGAATATGGCGCCGAGAATCCCATTTTCCGAGCTCCCTCGTCTGGGCTCGCGGGCATGCGCTCGATGCTCAACTCGTGAAACCGTTTGGTCGCTCGCTAGTCTGCACAGGGCTCGTGGTATTGCTCAGTCATACCTGAGAAAAGTGAGCGAAGGAGAAGACAGGTGGAAACAGAGAGCCGATAAGATCCAAAGTGGCGAAATATCCCATGTCTGGGACGTCCTTGAAGAGCGAGGTTTTGTGAAGGATGTTGCGGGGTACGCTTCTTACGTGTTTGTGTTACCTGAGCCGGAAAGAATGCTAATGAAGATGTGGCAGGAACGTTGACAAGATCAAGGAGATTATGCGAATCAAGCGAGTCGGTGCATATGTTGGTATCGACCCAACGGCAGATTCAATGCACGTCGGCCATCTGTTACCTTTCATGGCTCTCTTCTGGCTATGGTTCCATGGACACCCAGCAATTACTCTCTTGGGTGGCTCCACGGCTCGAATCGGTGATCCGACTGGTAGACTGCTAAGCCGGGATGACATGACCAACTCCGAAATCACCAAGAATATCACCAAGATACATTTCCAGCTCTCAAGACTTTGGACCAACATCGATCAATTGAGGCGCAAGTACGGTTATGAGGATGACTGGGCTGCTAAAAGAGCTCTCTTGAATAACAACACTTGGCTTGGAAAATTGACAGTGTACGACTTCAGCAAGAGGCTGGCCCGCAATATGAGATTGGGTCCTATGCTGAGCCGGGAGACGTGAGTATTTGTCGCTGTCCCCTATCCATGTCTAGATGTAATTGACACCGGCCTATTAGTGTTAAGAGGAAAATGGACGATGGTGATGGTATGTCACTCGGTGAATTCATGTATCCCCTCCTCCAGGGATGGGATTTTTGGCATTTGTACAACAAGCTTGGCTGCCAGATGCAGATTGGGGGCTCAGACCAGTTCGGCAACATTGTCGCGGGTATCGACGTATTAAAGGTTGTTCGAGAGTCTGAGGAAGCTCCTCATGAAAGGATGCCCACTGGCTGGCAACATGAGCCTTTTGGTTTCACCGTCCCTCTACTCACAGACTCATCGGGCGCCAAGTTCGGCAAGAGCGCAGGAAACGCAGTGTGGCTTGATGAGTACAAGACGTCGCCTTTCGAGCTTTACGGCTTTTTCATGCGCCGATCGGACGACGAGCTCGAGAAATTGCTCAAGCTCTTCACATTCATGCCCATCAAGCAGATCCAGGATATAATGGCACAGCACCGTGTGGACCCATCGAAACGTATCGGCAACCACCACCTTGCTTTCGAAGTCTTATCTATGGTGTACGGTTCTCAAAGGGCCCTTCAGGAGGCACAGCAACACCAATTCCGCTTCGGCGGCGAGCTTCCACACATCCTCAAGGAGCCCACCCCCGAAAGCGGTATCATCACACCCAACAACGCCCCTCGCAGCGACATCACACTCCCCCGATCCGTCATGAAGCTATCTCCTGCAAAGATTCTGTTCGCTTGTGGTCTTGCAGCCAGCAACAGTGACGGCCAGCGACTTGTTGCCAGCCAAGGCGCGTACGTGGCTGGCCAGCCTGGCCAGATGCGCGGTCTCGTCCCTGGAAACCTCAACTGGACACCCATGAAGATGTGGTTCCCTGAGGAGACGGCCAAGTTCCTCATTGATGGTAACATCCTGATCCTGCGAAAGGGCAAACACAATGTTCGCATCATCGAGCTTGTTGACGACGAGGAGTGGAAGGCTAGCGGCAAGGTTTACCCCGGCCAGCCATTCACCGGAACTGTCCGACGTGTCGTCCAGAAGCTCAAGGATGAAGCCACAGAGCGAGGGCAGGATCTTTCGCCGCAAGACATCCGCCGTCAGCTCATGAAAGAAAGAGACGAGGAGGAGTCGCAGGTGGCAAACAACCCTGACATCAAGCTGCCATCCAAGCAGGAGGTCCGGAATATGAACCGACAGAGGAAGTCGGGTGAGCAACCCTAGATGCTCATATTGTCTGTATATTATGTATTATAATTCCCGTGTATCACGACATGTAAATCCCTGCAGCAGGGGCCACGACTTATAGATCAAAAGATAATCACTTTCTTATCCAAACTCCGCACCGTATCCCACAATGTTTTCGTCACTTGCTCCCGGCCCTACCGGTAGAATATAGCCAAGTCGCCCCGAGAGACACGCAACGCCTTGAGTTTCTCCACGATCTCATCGTCGGTGAGGTCCTGCTCAGTGATGATCTGGTCAAAATGGTGACAGCCATCCGTATACTTCTGAATAGGATCGCCGCCTTCGACGGGGTGGCTCTGACCAGACACCAGCGCAGCTAGGTATTGTTTCGAGACAACGTATTTATGCACCCGGTAGAGCAGGCCCTTGATCAGGCCAAACTGGACGAAGCGGCGGACATCAATGTAGCGCAGCACCTCGAGCCCGGCTTCTTGGTGGGCCCAAAGCCATTCGATGACGGTGCGCCCAGGGACGAACGAGGTCATGAGCCTGACGAAGTGGAAATTGCTAAGGCGGCGCCCACCGTGAGAGACGTACTCGGCGCATTCGTCGATCATACCGTCGATGTTCTTCACGAAATCATGGATACCGGGCCGGGGCGCATAGCAGGCTCCGAAGAAGAACATGTCGAGGAGCAGAATGGTGTCGTAGTAGAGGAGATGACGGAGCGCTGTTTTGGCCAGGTCCACGGAGACGTGAGCAGCATGGGCGATGCGACGGACATCAGATACACCGTCGATGTGAGAAATTACTTTTTGAAGGGTGAGATCCCAGGTCGGGTCGACGATATCGGAAAATTTGGTTTTAGAGACCGGGACATGCCAGCCTTTAACAGGTGGTGGGTTGGGGTGAGGCGGAAACAGCTTCATGTTGATGGTATTGGCCTCGTCTATTGAAGATTAGTAACGGAGTTGGTTGAATGAATGGGTTTCTTTTTATTCTTGCTCAGAGAGCAGGGAGCTTACCAACGGGGATCATGCACTCTCCATAGTTGTTGAGGTCTTCCTTGACGATTTCCAGTAAACTCTCGATGGGCCTTCTTGACTCATAGCCGCCTCGGCCATCTGATTCGACCAGTCTTCCTTCGCTTTGGCTCAGATACTCGTTCTGCTTTTCCATTTCAGAAAAGGTCGCAGCAAGCCTCCTAACCACGGGTTCGTAGGCAGCCTGGTCGACATCTGCCTCGACAAGCAGGCCGAAGTTGAAGATGAATTCGTTCCTCATATACTTAGTGTGAGGGATGAGAACGGGGTACCCCAGGATGGAGTACTTGCCCTCTGGGCAATTGATGGTGACATAGCGATTGCAGAAGGCCTGGCGAGGGATGATGTACTCATGAAGGACGTCAAAGTCGACAAGAGGGGCCCTCGCATTGCTGCTGGCGTTGGCGCCGGATGTCGCAGAGTCGACTGATGTGATGCAGCCCGGGGGGGATTGAGCGACAATTTTAGGGCCTGGTAGCAAGATTGTGAGTGTTGGGTAATGCGATAAGAAGATGAGATGCGCATGTACCTTCTTTGGGGAAGAATCTCGCATAGAAGATGCCTTGGATCATGATGGAAAGGCGAATGCTGCTTGCATATTCAACCACCCTAGAGGATGAGCACCTATGAAGACTTGCCAGAGCGGAACACAAAACCAAGCTTGGTTATCTATGCTTGTGAAACAAACTGAGCTGCCTCGACTAATTAAATCGATTGTGTAACGGTTGAACTCTGTTATGTGAAAGCAGCGGTCGTGATAGAGGCTGTTAGTAAAGAGGTTCGGAGGGATGCTGGCTGGGGCGCAATAAAGTTGGCTCCAGGTTAGGTGAAAAAAAGTGGTGGAAACCCAAGAGACAAAGAAAGACCAAACCATCCTTGTGACATGCATGGCTAGTTGCATCCAGCCAGTGCCCAGGCTGCTAAAGGCCAGTATTCAGCAGCAGTTTTTTGTCCAATCACATCTGCTCTCCATATGTATATTACGACTACGTACTCGCGAATTCCCTATTGAGGCTGGACGGGATGGCATCTCGCTTGGAGCTTATCTGCCCCATGCTACCTGTTTATCGGCACTGATGGATGTCTTGGGCCACCCAGTCGCAGGTAACCAGGTGGATAGCCCAGCCCCTGGAGCTAGAGGCTGGCAGCGAGTGGCTCAGCTCAGTAGGCAGATGGATGCCGCCTGACCAGAGAAGCTGATGGACTCGAGTCGAAGGAAAGGACGGCCGTCGTGGACATGCCAAAATATGCTACAAGATCGGGGCCTGGGACGGATTTTAGACAGGAACCTGTCCGCACGCATCTATCTCGCCATCTAGTCTCAGAGAGCAAACCCTATCTTTGCGCTGAAGCAAACTGAAGCGGCAGACAGCGTGCGTTGTACAGGGCGCCCAGAACCTCCACCAGCCAGTACCGGTCCCGCCTCCCAACAACAGTGAGAACGGCTGATCAGTTGTGGCAACACCACCTACCCTGATTGATCTGTCATCATCCGCTCCGTCCACGCATACGACCTGTGCAATCGCAAAGCTGCCTTTTCGCATTCCGCATTTTGCCCAGCCCAGAACACTGGGCAGCCACCCGTCCCTCCCTCCTCCTGCTTCTCCTTGGGCACACCCTTCCAATCACCTCTTGCGGAACCTGGACCTACCTCTGTTCTTGAGCCGTCTCCATCACCGTCTCCTCAACCCCGCGCCAAGTGACTGACTGGGCCCAGACTTGTTGGTTGGCACACCCTTCTTTGGCATCCTTACCGTCTCCGTCTGGGTCCCTCGACAATTCGCATCTTGCATCTTCACATACGCACGTCTCCCCACCGTACCGTACCAGACGTCGCCATGGCCGACAATGCCGACACAGCTAGCGAGCCGCAGCAGATCACCTTCAAGGTGAAGACCTCTGGCGATAAGTCTCACACCATCACCATGTCGGAAGCCGCGACCGTTCTTGATCTGAAGACCAAGCTCTCCGGCGACGATTTCGAGAAGATCCCCGTCGAGCGACAGCGCCTCATTTACTCAGGCCGCGTACTTAAGAATGAGGAAACCTTGGGAACCTACAAGATAAAGCCCAACAACACAATCCACATGGTCAAGAGCGCAGCCAGCAACCCCGGCCAACCCGCGTCTACATCTGCATCTACATCTGCTCCTGCCGTGCCTACCAATATGGCTTCAGGAACCGCCAACAACCCCTTGGCTGGCCTGACTGGCGCCCGATATGCCGGCCACCAGATTAACCTACCCGGTATGGATATGTTTGGACCCGATGGTGGTGTAAGTTGACTCCATACCCTGTTGCGCAATCGTGCCGTGCGCCTTGGGCACGCCTGGCTTTCTTGTCTTATGCTGACCATGTTCGCCTGTAGATGGGTCCCCCAATGGACGAGGAGCGTATTCAGCGCATGATGGAGGACCCCAATGCACAGCAGTCCATGAACGAAGCTCTGAACAACCCGGACTTTGTGAACATGCTGATTCAATCGAACCCGATTCTACGCAACATGCCTAATGCGCGGGAGATTATCACCTCGCCCTTTATGCGGCAAATGATAAGCAACCCTTCGATGATGGCCCAGGCCATGCGCATGCAACGCGGCATGCGAGGTGGAAATTCGGCCTTCCCAGCGCCAGGTGCTACCGACACAACCCCATCAGATGCGGCGGCGAGCAACGACAATGCAGCAAATAGCGGCGCAAATGCGCAGAATCCCTTTGCAAACCCTTTTGCTGCTTTTGGTGGATATCCTGGAGGGCAGGGCGGCGGCTTCCCAGACCTCACTCAATTACAGGCGTTGTTGGGCGCCACACGGCCTCCCAACGCTGCCGGCGGCGACTCGGCAGCAGCGCCAGCATCAACAGGTGGTGGTACCAGCACCAGCACCACTACCGCCGGCCAAGATTCACAGCAGAACACCCAACAGGCGGCGGCCAACCCATTTGCGGCACTCTTCCCCCCTCCCGGAGGCTCGCAGGAAAACCCATTTGGCATGAACCCCGAGATGATGCAGCAGATAATGCAAATGATGGGTGGCGGCGGCGGCGCTGCCCAAGCCTCGCCGCCAGACAACCGACCTCCAGAGGAGCGGTATGCGGATCAACTTCGACAGCTCAATGACATGGGATTCTTTGATTTCGATCGTAATGTAGCGGCTTTGAGACGGAGCGGTGGAAGCGTACAAGGAGCTGTGGAGTACCTGCTGAGTTCGTCATGATTTATCGAATGGAAGGATTAGGGTCTACGCCCAGGGTGATGGGAGGGCAAATCACCACTCAGGAGCAAATTAGCATACGAGAATGATTCCCGAATAATAGCTACTGCAATAGCATGACAGAACGATGGGTTATTTTCCCTGACAAAGCGTTTCTTATTATACATTCGCTGTGCACTATACCATGTGTTATGTAAATGGTAGTCCCCCCAGTTTGGTAGCTCTTGAGAACGGTCGATGCAAGGTTGTAGAGAAGGCGGCGACAGGAGGATCGAGGAGCGAGGGATGGCGGGGCGGGATTGGAGTTGATGATGGTTGAATGTGGAAGACCCATAGCATCAGATAGATGAACAGGCTTGTTTTGGTATGGACTGTAGACTCAACGAATCAAGCTGAGGCGCCTGAAGCTTTCCCAATTGGATGCACGCTACCATTTGAAGACTTGACAACTCGCATGAGAGCCTATCGGGACTCGGCTGAGGTGCATGTCCTTGCGTGCCCTCGATGGTCCCTGATGCAAGAGATGCCTCGGCTGGTTACCCCGCGATGGGCCTAACCCCTGTTGATTGTGGGAGCTTGGGGCGGCAACGGCTATTCGTAGCGCAGACCGCTAGGCGTATATGTACATATGGGGAAGCTGTCTCGAAACGTGCCCCATGCTATCCGAGTGCTCATCATTTGCGACAATCTAGATCTGTTTCTTTTCTCTTCACGCATTCCACCTGTATCCTTTAGACAGTTGTTCATCAGCTAGATACCCCATCCCAGCCCGCCTTTTCCAGAGTGATAATCTGCCATTCCGCCCAGCATGCGTGGGATCCAGATTGCTGAATATGTCAAGGTCGGTATGGTTCCTAACTACGTGGATGAAGACACAGCTAACCAACGGCCCAGAGTCCCAACGAGCTCAAGGTAACGGAGCTCCCTGACCCGTCACCCAAGCCGAATGAGTACGTCGTGCAGGTCCACGGCGCGGCTGCCAATTTCTTCGACATCCTCCAGATCCAGGGCAAATATCAGAACCAGCCACGTGAGTTTGCCAGACCAAAACCGCCTTCGCCCTTCAGCCTTTTTGATATTGACCATTTCTCCCCTCTCACAGCCTTCCCATGGGTCGCCGGCTCCGAGTTCTCGGGCGTCGTCGTCTCCGTCCCGGCCAACTCGAGCTCCCCTCGCTTCCCGGTGGGCAGCCGCGTGTTCGGCGCCAGCCAGGGCGCCTTCGCGACCAAGCTGGCCGTCCCCGAGAGCGCCCTGCTCCCCGTGCCCGACGGGTGGTCGTTCCAGGAGGCGGCGGGTCTGTTCGTCACCGCGCCCACCAGCTACGGCGCGCTGGTTGTCCGGGCGGGCATCAAGGCCGGCGACATTGTGCTGGTCCACGCGGCCGCGGGAGGTGTCGGTCTGGCCGCTGTTCAAGGTGAGTTTTGCTATCTACATCTAGAAAGCCCCCGAGGTGTTCCTTGTCCCATTGTTCTTTGGGGACATTGGTGGCTAACCTCGTGAACCCCCCAGTCGCCAAGGCATTCGGCGCAACCGTCATCGCAACAGCGTCAACAGAGCACAAGCTCGAGATCGCGAAGCGCTTCGGCGCCGACCACGTAGTCTCCTACAACGACAAGTCGTGGTCGCAGCAGGTCAAGGCCCTGACCCCCAAGGGCCGCGGCGTTGACATCGTGTACGACCCCGTGGGGCTCGTGGACCTCTCCACCAAGTGCACCGCCTGGAATGGGCGCATCCTCGTCGTGGGCTTCGCGGCGGGCAGCATCGAGAAGGTGCCCACCAACAAATTCCTGCTCAAGAACATCTCGCTGGTCGGCATCCACTGGGGCGCGTACACCCGGAACGAGCCCGAGACGATCCTCACCGTCTGGAAGGGGATCATGGACCTCGTCAAGGCCGGGAAGCTCAAGGGGACCGAGTACTCGGACCAGGAGTTTGTTGGCTTGGAGAAGGTCTCGGATGCGCTGACCGCGCTGGGAAGCCGCGGGACATGGGGCAAGGTTGTGATCAAAGTCCCCCAGGAGGGAAGCAGCAAGCTTTAAAAGGACCTATCGGCGGTTTCAAATTGATTCAATAGTGCACACGGGTGTTACGGGGTCTTATCCTGGTGATAGTGTGGTTGGTTATCCTGTTCTAGACATTAATGGAGTCTATTCGTTTCATTTACTGGGCTAGTCATACCCGTTTGCTCTGCTTATAAACAAATAGGGATTCTCAGCTCCCTGGATATCATCACTGACCGTCTGTGCAAAATCACTGCTGCTGTCCTGCAGCTGCGCCCATCATTTGGCGGAACTGGTCCATCACTTCCTTGTCCACGTTCACAGCCCACTGTTCCTCGAACACAGCCTCACCTCCAACGCGGCTGACCAGATCCTGCAGTCTCTCTCTCACGAATCCAAGCGCACTCATTGAATGCACCGGATCCTTCATCTGGGTCTCTCGCTGGAGAATCATCTTCGGGTAATCGTACTCGCCCGCTTCGATTTCCGTCCACAGCAAGCTGTCCGTTCCATCTGTAGTACCGTCCTGCAACTCAGCTATTGTGTTTAACCACATGCTCACGAAGTCTTGAAGCTTTGCAAGCACGAGCTCCTGCATAGGCGAGGGAAGCTCCAGAAGACGGGTCAAGCTCAGAAGATAAAGCTTCTGCCTCTCAAGGCGATCAATCCCCTGCATGTATGAGAACCATTCCGAGGATAGCCAGCCCCAGACTTGGTCTAAACTGCCAAAGGATGTCAGCATTTGGACAAAAAGGGTTGGCTCTGCCAGGGCAAGGCGTGACACGATTGCAAGATAGTCTCCTTCAGTAAGTGTGTTGAGTTGACTGATCTTGCGATTCGGGCCTGTGGTCTGATGCGCTTCCCAAGCATCATGCAACCGACCGAGGATTTTGTTCATGAACCCTGTCTCGACCATATCCTGAATAATGACAGACACACCGGCAGGCCCTCCGAGCTCGACAGCAGAGCGGGTTAGATACTCAATGCATGCGGTGCCCGTACGAACGAGCTCTCTGCTCTTGGAGTCCAAAGCTCCAAGTAGAGCCAAGAGGGTTGGGCGACGTAGCCGGTCTTCTAAAATAGCACTTGGAGCAAGCAGAATGTATGACTCAACTGCGAGTAAAGCCTCGGACGCAGTTTCGGACGAGTACTCCAGCAATGGTAGAAGGGTTTCGGAAAGACTAATCATCTCCGGGGACAACGGTGGTTTGCTGTGCATGAGAATCGCGTTCCATAACTCTAGTGATTCATCAATCAAATGCACATGCAGATCAGAGCCCTGCCTCGTTGCTTCTGTAATCAGTGGAACCATCAAGTGCTGATAGCGCTGCGATTCGTAGCCCATACTCATAACAAGAGCGGCGAAGATGGCAATCACGCCTTGCTTGATCATGTAGTCTTCTGTCCCAGAGTTGGTCCAAATTTCCGGCAAGGTTGACATGAGTTGGTCACCAAACTGCGCTACTTGATCCTCCATGCGGGTGACAAGAATTCTGATGGACTCTAAAATTGCCAGTTTGGTTTCGTCGATGTCGACGTTTCGAGTCAGAACAACGAGCTGATTCAGCACATCAGAAGTATAAGGGAGGAAGGCCTCAACGCTGAAGCCAAGTTCATCTGCAATCCACCTCAGTTCTCTAGCGGCTGTGATTCTTACAACAACATCATTGTTCTCATCGTTGGGGTTGAGAAAGTGCCGGAAGATTTGGTATGCGATAGGCCGGCTGTGATCCTCAAGTTTTACTGGAGCCCACTGACTGATTAAGATGGCAATGCGTCGGCGGAGAATCTTGAACAATTCACCAGACTGCTGTGCATCTTGAGAGATGGTTGATGCAAGGAATGCGTCAAAGTCGAACTTGTTGACGACGTGTGCCGCGGACAAGCCCATTGCAGTGTATACAGCCTCCTTCGTCGCGATGTCCGCTTGTGGGTTCTCGGCGGTTTGAAAGTAAGTCATTAACGGAGTAATGAGCAGGTCCTTGAAATTTGTTAGAAGATCTAGGAAGAGCTTTTCCGAGCAAGGCCGGACCTGCCACTCAAACGCATCGCCCTCGCTCTGCTGCTCCTTTTCCCATTCTTCTGGGTCTTCTTCCCAGGCCTCCAAGTCCGACTTTCGAAACACGAAGAGATACGTGATGATGCAGTTCACAATTTGAACCACGAGTTCGGGTTTCCACAGTTCTGTCTTAACAAGTGTTCTGGCCTGCTCCTGCTCCGCTTTTGTCTGGGGAGTACGATATTTGAAAGTTTGGACGGGTTGGAATGCGATCCTGATGCAGGCTCGAAGTAGAAGAAGTCCTTTGACAGCAAGCTTCTCTAGCAACGGGCCTTCAATCTTGGCCTTGGTGGCTCCGCCTCCCCCTGAACTTTGGCGAATGCCACCAGAAGTCGCAAAACTCTCAGCAAAGTTGGCAACTAGGTCCCAGTATGCGCGGACAAGTGGAAGGGTGTTTGGCAGGACAGCAAATCCAGCAGCATGCTGGTCTGACATATTGATATGTAGTTTTGTGAACTGTAAAAGATGTCCCCCGGCCACCTCCTGGAAGAGCGGTGGTAGATTCGACTCATTGCCGACGAGACCAAGTAACTGCCCAAATTGATTTTGAGACATGGACCAGAACTGCTCTACCTTCTCGTCTGCGTGTGGGCGTTCATATCCAACAATTACGAGTCTTCGTAGAATCTTCAACGATACAAGACTAATGCGCAATGACTGGTAAGCCTCTTGTTCGTTTCCTTGCCGACTAGCGAGAAAATTTATGCCAAGCTCGGATCTTTCAGAATAGATCTCGCTCAACACATGCACCATTTCAGGAGCAACCGACTGGAGGGCCGTCTGCGACTTCCTCAGGCGGGCAGTCCCCAGCTCCTTGACAACTTGTAGCAGAATTTGCAGGGTGCCGAAGAGGTGTTGCTGGTTGCCATGCCTGGATGTTCGAAGCAGCTCGATAATCTGAGGGAGGGCCTCTGGCCAATCTGCAGGATAATCTATCCGCACAATCCTCGCCACTACCAATGCATTATGCTCTGCGAGCCTCTCCTCGCCTTCGTCGATCGTACCCTGGAACAAACGTGATCGGATGAGAGTCTTCTCCTCGGGGCTGACGCCGTTCTTGACATGTGCATAGAGTCTCCAGTATCTGTCGATGCCATTCTTGAGCTGAATGACGGCTTGAAATCGAGGTTCTAGAGGGAGGGATTTGTCTAGATACACCGACTATATGATACATTAGCGTTGTTTCAAAGGGCGGCCGGAGGCAGGCCGGGGAGAACGGCATACCTGCAACGAGCTGTAGTACCCGGGGTGAGTTTCCCAGGTAGTCAACTGTTGCTCGGAGCTCTGTCTTTGGGTTGCATCTGGGGATGTCGTTGCGTTTTGAAGCGTGCGGCATAAGTCTTGGTAGCTTAAGGGATTTGCGCTCCCGGGGACTTCGATCGCGAAGCTCATACTTGCTGCCAAACCGCCTTGGCGGCGACAGGGAGTGGACAATGACGAAGTTAGATTCTGCGACCAGTGTCTAACAGAGCCGGGAAGCTAAAAAGGCGCAAACGGGTAGCGATATTGTGCCCGGGTCAGGTTATGGCAGGACCGTTGCAGTGCCGGACTGGAAAGGCGATGGTGGGATTGAAGCACGGTGAGACAGATGCGTGCGGAAAGAATTGGGGAGGCATGGCGGGGTTGATACGAGCTGGATGCTTGTTAGTGCGGGCTATGAAGGGCCACCAATGCACCATGCTGGTAACACCCAGGGCTACTGGGTCTTACATCGTATTCTATAATGGAAGAAATTGATCCCTGGATGCAACAATGGTGCCGTATATGGCGTGCCTAAGGAGAGAGGAAAGGAGTCATAACGCTGCGGCAGATTTACACCGTTCCAGCGCTGCATGCACAATTTTGTCCACTGCATCCCCTCTTCGCCGGTAGTGCATACGGCCCGAGCTGATCGGCGCCGGCCATAAAGACTGGCGTAGACCCTGGAACCTGGAGCTACGATATGAGTATGAACTTATAGAGATCCATATGAGAACCCAATGATTTATTCAGAAATATAAACTTCAATACTAATTTCTCAAGTACCCCTTGGTTACGTGAACAAACCGAGGCTGAAGTACCAACATAAGGTACAAAGTGGCTCCTAAATGGAAGGTGCTATGCGTTGGACTAACCTAACCTGACCTTTTCTTATGTACTTGGTCATTTTCGACGTGGAATTGGCACCGGGTTGAAAAACATCCCCTTATCCCTTCCATGGACTAGAAGCCCAGTACCTTGTTCCCATATTCAAGCAGGCTCGCCTCCTCTTGCTCCTTTGCTACCGCAACGTCAAATGGCGCAAATCCAAATGCCCGAAGAGCAGCTTCGTTGGACAGCTCTTTCAACGCAGCTGCACCCGGTCGGCCGACATGCTGGCTTTCGCCCACGCCGCCGGGAAAGTCAAACGGCGGGATTCCTTGGATGAAATGGTCGCGCTGCTTACGAACATAGTCCAGATTGATCTTTGTTGTAGGGCAAGCCGGGATGTATAGGACACTTGAGTCGCTCTTCCCGCCGTGCACACTGTCCACAGCATGGATGGTGTCGCAATGCCACGCAACGTAGTCTCCGGGCCTGATTCGTGGTACATGCACCATCGTTTTGGGGAGATTTAGGTGAGGGTGAAGAACGTGGTTCAGCTCTTGGCAGTGGCCTGGCCAAGCGCCTTGAAGTTCAGGAGACGCGGGTGGTGCCAAAGCCCAGTTGTCGCTGTTCAAGTACTCAGGAGTATAAGGAGAGCCTGGCTCTGAAGCCCATTGCTTCTTCGGGGCGAAGAAAGGCCGAAGCAGAAAGTAAGATGTTGAAAGCGACAGTAAAGGGTTGACAAGAAGTGTCCCTTCCTTGGGACCTGTATGCGACATGCCGAGCCATGCCTGGAACATCCGGAACATGCTGCAGGCGCCTGCACCATTATACAAGTCCTGCTTGGCTTTCAAGCGGGTGCTCAACTCCCAAGCGTCGAATTCCTCCCACTTTCCTTCGAATATCTTGTCATAAACTTGGCCTTGACCATATCCTGCTTTCTCCCATCGCTCAACGCCACCACCATCTATATGTGGACCTAGGGCGAACCCAGCATCACCGGGCTGTCGAATACGCAGACGATCAGCATATGTGAGGGGCTGCTGGAGAGAGCAGGGGGTATGAGGATCTTTTGAGTGGTAATATGATAACAGAAACTTCTGCGCCTCAATCATATTGGGGTGACCTCGAGCTGCTAGCTGGGGCTTTGACCAATACAGCTCAAATACCTGGGGATCGTGCGGTGGAAATGCTGATTTCGTCAGTGAACTCCAGTTCTACAGCGTATACTCTTCAGACAAGGGTACAATCACACCTTTTGTTGAAGGGTTTGCTGCAACATATTGTTCAATCTCCTCCTTGTAGGCCCGGGCCTCTTTCTCAGGAACTACCTGGCGGATAACTGCAACCCCCCTCTTTCTCAACGCATCATTGAAATCTTTTGATGGATTTTCAATGTCAGAAAAATCAATTTCTGGGATGCAGGCCGATCCTTGCTTGGCAATCTTTTCAGTCTCGACTCTTAGGTGATCGAGTAGCCGATTCCAGCTATTCTGAAGCGCCACTGGATCCTGAATAAGATTCCGTTTGACTTCAGCAAACCTTTGTGGCAAAGTCTCTGTCGAGTCGCCGGCCGACAGAGATCTGAAGACTGAGGAAATATCGCCCTCTTTCTTCTCCACATTAGCATCCGTTGTGGCAGCCCTTCTTTGGCACAGAAGAGAACTGGTATAGAGAGGCCTTGGCGCTCTAAGAGCCGAGATTCTCGCCGTTCGCAACATCGCGTTCAGCAACACCAGATATAAAACGATGCGATATGTAACAAAACTAATTGGAATCAGTTATAGAATCTTTTTAGACAACATCCTCACATACTTCAACCATCTTTTTAATATACTCTATCTCGGTTGTTCAATAAGCGCGGAGCTGAGCGGCCCTTCCACGAAGGGAAAAGCGGCGACACCCCGATGGTGGCGGAATTCCAAAAACCGCAGTCTCCGCCTTACAACTCAAATTGAAAATGGTACAATGAGGTCAGCATTCAGGTTTATTCATGCAGATAACTTGAATTGCTCGATCACGACGTTACAATGCATTGACCGCTTAAATCTGTGGGTTGGTGTGCGGCGAAGCCAATACGGATGAAGGTAATGGTCATGGTAGCGAGGACGGAAGCAACTTCATTTCCAAATAAATAAGCCATTGTATGATTCAGATTCTTAGAACATCTCTATACAAAGGCAACACATCTGAAGGACCACTTCTCTTCTTATCATGCTATTTTATACATCCATGGGCTCTTCTCTTTCTGCAAACCCCATGAGGTCTTGCTGTCTGCCATGTCACACACAGTCTCATTGGCACGGGGCTCTTTAAGCGATAGCGGGGTTTGCTTATCGTGCGGCTCGCTTGTGCCAATGACGACTAACAATATATCACCCTAGACAGCGGTGTTTTCCTCTTTAAGAGGTTGCATAATATACTCCGATTCTTTTCTTTTTCTCAAAGAAGGGTGCCTCCTTCTGGTCACTTTTGGGGATTTTGGTTAGCCCCGGTTGGACGGTGAACACAACATTTCTCATGTTATTGTGATTTCATTCCAGCTTTTGGAGATCATAGCTAGATGTCAAAAACAATAGGTAGGTTTAAAGTGATGTGAGCCTACCTAGTAGGTACCAGCGACAAGGCCCATTCTGGAAAGCCGTCCCACTATTCTTGGATGGGTATCGGGGCGTCGTGTATGGCCCGTAACGATCTTCGTATCAGGTCACATCCTCGCAGAAGCGGGCTGATTCGAAATGATGGTTTTGGAATAGTTAGATTAGTTTTGTTACAAATTCCCGAGTTAAAAATCCGGCTATTGGATGCAAATGTCGAGTTCAAATAAAGTGCCGTGGTGGCACATGGTCGCAATACGCTATACCAAAAATGGAAAGAAGCTCGATGCCTCGTTCGATCCAAACTGCCGGGATTTTTTCTTCTACACTCTCACCCGCTTTCTTGCTATCACCACCACTAATTCTACGATGATACGGTCGCGGGCTATAAACAGTATACGCCCACTTGCGTCTCGCCGGGCATGGACATGCCCAGCATGTCTCTCGAGGCGGCAATTCTCGAGCAAGCAATCGGCGAGCCCCCCCAAACAAGAACCTCCCGACCATCGAAAGCTCGCAACGCAGCAGGAACTCTTCATCAGCTCAATTTATAGTCCTGGCTCGCCAATGTTTCTCCCCCGCGGTGCCCGAATTTTCAACAAGCTTGTCGACTTCCTGCGCAAACAATATATCCGCTACGGGTTCGAAGAAGTCATAACGCCAACGATCTATAAAAAGTCGTTATGGGCCAAGTCTGGTCATCTAGCGAACTATAGTGATGATATGTACTCAGTTACGGGGAATCCCAAGTCTGCGGCTACCGGTGAGCACGCCTGCTGTCCTGGTGAGGAGAAGGACCCCAATCACGAGGAGGAGGATGGAGAATATGGTTTGAAACCTATGAATTGCCCAGGACATTGCGTCGTCTTTGCATCCAAAGCCCGCAGCTATCGAGATCTGCCAATTCGGTATGCCGATTTTAGTCCATTGCATAGAAATGAGATATCAGGCGCCCTGAGCGGTCTGACAAGAGTGCGGCGTTTCCATCAGGATGATGGTCACATCTTTTGTCGTCCAAGCCAAGTGGAGGAAGAGATCAAGCGCACCTTGGAGTTTGTTAAGGTTGTTTACACTGTTTTGCGGTTGGGCGTAAGCTACCGGCTCGCATTATCAACACGGCCAAAGGACCATTTTATTGGCACGGATGAGGAATGGCAGCGTGCGGAGGACGCATTAAGGAGAGCCCTAGAGACATCCGGAATGGAGTGGAGTGTGAACGAGGGTGATGGCGCCTTTTATGGTCCTAAAATTGACATCATCCTGAAGGATTCAGATGGCAAAGAGCATCAAACCGCTACGGTTCAGCTCGATTTTCAACTTCCTAAGCGTTTTGAGTTGGAGTACCAGGCACCGGCCCCAGAGTACGAGGCCCGAGGGGAGACAACTGATGATCCGGCTCTGCTCGCCGATTATGGCCCAGTACGTCCTGTCATGATCCACCGCGCGGTGCTGGGGTCCGTGGAGCGTCTTATGGCACTCCTGATTGAAAACTACAACGGCAAATGGCCGTTTTGGCTCAACCCACGCCAGGCCATCATCTTGACGGTGAACACCTCAGCCCCTGTCATCGAATGGGCAGAAAAGGCGCGAAATGTAATCATTGGAAACGACAGCCAAGCGTACGAGGATATCCTCGCGGGGAGGCTGCCTTCCCCTGACCACCCGCTCCGGCCCACAGGCCTGGGCGTTGATGTAGATATCAGCGCGAGATCTTTGGGACTGAAGATCCGAGAAGCACGTAACAGTGGCTACAGTCACATATTGGTGGTAGGCGACGAAGATGTAAAACACAAGCAGGTCAGCCTCGGCAAAGAGAGGATGACGCCTGCTGAAATGCGTGACAAAATGTTGAACATGGTAGACACTTTCCAATAACGGATACTCCTAATCCAAGTCTAATTCAAACCCTACTCACATTACCACATTCTCATCATCGTTCTCTCCTCTGCTTCCACCCATGGGTAAACCAAACACCGAAAAGCACCGTCTGTGATTTACACATGGAGAAGCGCCTTGCAGCAATCTAAAATTCGTGACAATGCTCGCAACGGGGTTCCTCACATGATCAAGACCGTATATCGCTAGGATGTATGAAAACCATACCGAGCTCAGACTCGCTTGAGGCGTTTCCTTGAGCTATATGAAAGGCCCTCCGACGATATCTGAATATCCCGAGCCATTTCATTCCCTCAGCTAGTGTGAACTCCCGCCTGTCTGTTGTCTGTAGAGGGGTCTATACTAGATCAACTTCTGATGCCTTCAATTCAGCGCGGCAGTGGTGGGGATGCAAGGCACAAGAAAGCTCAACCCTTACCTTTTCAGCTTCTCATCCACCTCGCCGCCGGCCTGCTCAATGCGGTCCACCATCTCCCGTCTCTCTTCGATCTTGTCTCTCATGTATTCTACAGTCCGCTTCAGGACCAGGCCCTCTGAGCGCCCTTGACCCTCGAGGCCGGGGACCAACTCTGTCAGGCGATCAAAGCCTTCCCTGATGGCCTGTCTTCGTTTTTGTTCTGCACGCCTTTCGTGTCAGTGAACCCGTTCACTTGTTTAAATAAAGAGCCCGGATCCAAATGCTCTTGCTCCCCCTTTACATACCAGACGCGATGTGGTTCTGCTTTTTCTCTTCCTCCGTCAGGCGCGGCTTATCGTCGGCATTGAGGCCGCCATCAGCAGACGGGGGCGGAGATTTGTTGCCTGAAGTTATCATTGTACAACACTGCTGAATATGGCTTCAGGATGAGATGATCCCATATGTATTATATAGGCCGGGAGGAATCGGGAGGCTTGAACTCTGTTCGGCTTCTCCTCCGGATGTCGATTGTCAACACCAGACGACGGGTGTGGGTGTAGGCAAGGGTATGACCGACCCCAGATTCCGGCAGACTCCATATACATTCAGGCCGCTAAGACCACCCAGCATGAACGACCGACGAATAGAGATGCTGCATGCAATTCATGCCTTGGGGGTGCAGCCGCGCCTGCAGGCTTTCCGCACTTTCAAAAACTGTAAAAGAAACTTTTTGATCGAGTACAGTAAGAGGGGCCTGCAGCTCGTCATGTTAAAATGCTGTCAATTCATCCGCCCGTCCAACGCAGGATGCACTATCCGGCTATCACATGCTAAACCGACGTTGTAACACCGCAGATAGTGATCAGCAACGCTTTATTGATGTCCAACGCCCAATGCGTAATATTCAACCAGCGATTCTAATATTCCAGCTATATATTTTGAAACACCATGCACTTCCATATCCGAGAGAAACAAAAGTTTTGCGGCCATATGCTCTTTTCCATGTCCAGCATGCCCGACATCTAGCTGCAAGGGTGCATGTCAAAATCAGTCTTCCTCCTCCTCCCCGCCCTCTTCATAAATGTCCTCCTCCTGCTGGAAGATAGCCTTCTCGGCCATCGACAGGGTCCGTCGAACAGGTAAACCAACAACATTATCCACGCTGCCGTCGATTTTCTCCGCGAGTAACATGCCGCCCATGCCCTGTATAGCGTAGCCGCCGGCCTTGTCCGCCCCCTCCCTAGTCTTCACGTAAGCCTCTATGACGTCGTCCGGCAGCCCGTCCTCTTCCTCCCAGAAGTAGACCTTGGTCTCCTCCGTGTGGGTGACGAGCTCGTAACCCGGCGCCCTCGCGTCCTCCCGCGGGGCGATCACACTGATCGAGGTCAGCACCTTGTGCATCCGGGTGTCGCGCAGGTGCTTCAGCATCCGGATGTGGTCCGCCTCGTTGCGTGGCTTCTCGAGGATGCGCCCGTCCCGCGTGACAATGATGGTGTCGGCCGCGATGACCAGCGAGGGGTCGGGTATCGACTTCATGGAGTTTTCCAAAGCTATGCTGTACACGTCCAGGCACTTCTTGCGGGCCGTCTCCTCGACATATTCGTAGGGGCCGTATGCTCCCTTGTCCACGTCTTCGGGTTTTGTCGACGGGAGGATTTCGAGGTTTTTGAGGCCGATCTGGATTTAAAGTACCGGTTAGAAAAGCGCACACTGCTTGCCATGGGTGGGAACGGACCTGCTGCAGCAGAGCTTTCCGTCTAGGGGACGCCGATGCTAGAATGACGCGCTTGGAGTTTAAGTGCTGGATTATGGGAATCTCGAGGGGCAGCGGTCCTCTGCGGATGGGAATATTCTGGAGGACTGAAGTTTCATTCTCGCCCGCCTGCTTGCCCCCGTCGGTTGGCTTGGGATCGGCCATCTCAATTCGGACTGATTAGAAGGTGATATTTTCCGTGCTTGAAAGTGTCGTCGTGAGATGAGCAGATGGGTGACAGTGACGGTATCGTGGTTCCCAAACTGGAGGGGCTCGCTCTTGAGCTTGTCCCGATGTCCCCGCCAGATCTCAGAGCTATCACATTATTATGGAGATGGCGGACTTGGTCCGGAGGGCGACAGAAAAAAGTGTAAAAAGTTACACCTGACCTCTGATATGCTACTTTTGAGTTTTGTATTCTTTGATTTGCGGTAAATACTACAAACCCGAGAAAACAATATACTCTATATTTTCTATCGACCTGATTTTCTGTGGACGCTTCCCATATCAACTGCATTGATATTGAGTTAGATATATTGCTTGGTGTGTCATGTATTATGTCCAGCTTGTTTGCAACGGTAGCTTAGTACCCTAACCTGAAAAGGCACATTGCTCAACAGCGGATTGCCAACTGCACTCTTGCATGAAAGTATATATTTGATTTCAAGTTGACTATATAAATCACGGCTTAGAATAGGAACAATCTCATTTCACCGTCCTTCCGGCGAGTTTCTCGTTCCCCAAGGATACCTTACCTCTAGGTTCAGGTCCACTATTGCCTGTCAGTCACTGCCAGCTAGGGCGCTGTGCTCCCGCTCAAGCCAGCGATGCTCACCTTCGCACGCCGTTAGCCCACCATGTAGTTGTTCAAGGACCCTCCATTGCTCAATCAGGCTACCAGCACCATGCATATCGACCCAGACACCAGAAAGGCCAATTTCAAACAGGGACTCCCTGAAATATTGGCATTCAATCATTGTCCTCATTGCTTATCCATATGATTAGCAGGTTACGTCCTCCCAACAACCGTTGGTGACTCCAGAAGGCTTTGCGCCTTGTTGCCTGAGCTACCTACCCAGATCGGGAATAGCGCAAGGTGACATCGCCAGGTACATTCTTCCCCGTCTCGCAAAATTGGAGCCAGCCTTTCGAAACCAAACGCGACATCCCATGTACTGACCTCAGAAGGTGGTCAGTGAATCAGTGCGCTAAGATCGCAACATCTTCGCGGGAGCGATTCACAGCTTGGTGCATGCTGCAGAATTGGGGAACTATTTTTTCCCTTGCGTATTCTTCCATTGTTGACACCGACTAGAGTTCTTAAGCCCACGCCGCACCGGCCAGCGAACCAGTCGAAACGCGTTCATCCACCTCCTTCGAAGACCATTGCCCAGGAATCTTGCAGATTGCGGTTTTCTTCTACACGGCGACGAGCTTTGCAGCCTGATATGTCATAGAGAAACACGCAGCCAATTTTGCAGGATGGACTCAAAGCGCAAGGCCAATGGCGCTGCATCGCCCGAAAATGACGATCGCGCTTCTAAGCGTCGCAAGCTTGCTGTGAGTCTAGCTCGCCTCTCCCTGGTCCCGCAATGAAGAATTCAGATGGCGAATTCTGCTCCTTGATGCGCCGAGACTGCTTGATGAACAACTCATTGATTGAGGGAATGCTAACGTTCAACCTAGGAGGAGTTCGATCTTTCCAAGGGCGAAACCCCCGAATCGACAACTGCATACGGTCTAGCCTTTCTTGAGCAAATCAGGCGCACGTCGGACAAAAGGTAGTGAGTTTGGACAAAGGTGTACGATTGCAGTGCTGACGCCTCTTAGTGGCCGCCGAGTTGCAGGCTATTTCGAGAAACTCCCTCCAAAGGAGGGAAATGCCGATTATTACAAGCAAACACGCATGCCTATTTCGCTCGAGCTCATCGAAGAACAACTTTTGGATGGAAAGTTTAAGGACCTCGCCCAGCTTGAGAGTTACTTGAAGAGGATGATTTCCAACGCCAAAGAGTTCTACCCTCGATCAAGTTCTGTATTTGACGACGCGGAACGTGTTCGAAAAGCCGTCAGCAATTACATGACAAAAACCAATCCCGCATACCAGAACCGTCGCTATCAAGCTGTCCCAACCCCTCTGCCGCCGGAGGATGGTGCAGAGGAGGACGCGGAAGGCGAGGACGCTGAAGAGGATGCGGAAGGCGAGGACGAAGATGGAGACAACGCCGAACAATCTGAAGACGATGAGGACGAGGACAATGATGAGGACGACGCCGACGAGGATGAGGATGATGTCGGTCCTCGCTCTGGAAAGCGCTCAATAATTCTTAAGCGACAGGGACCCAGCCGTCCCTCTCGAGGCTCCGCCACGGCTGCTCAAGAAACTCCGAAGAGGCCAGCCACAAATAGCTCCGATGATCAGTATGAGGATGTCGATTACAAGGGCCTTAGCTTTCAGCAAGCGCAAGAGAAAATTGTGGAGGAACTCCTACGGCATCAGGAGCCAGAGTATGTGGCTACTAAATAATGTCGGGAGACGCTCGCTAACCATATAACAGGTATGATAGTCCATACTTCGAGCCTTTCGTCAACCTCCCCCCTCGTGCTCTGAAAGATTACTACAAAATGGTTTCCGATCCACTATCTCTGAGGAAACTGCAAAAGATTGTCAAGGGAGTACAGGGCCGAGGCAATCCTACAAACGTCAGCGAATTCAAAAGCTGGGCTCAGTTTGAAGAGAAAGCCAAACTTCTTTGGGCGAACGCCTACTTCTACAACGAAGAAGGCAGCGACATTTACGTCCTTGCTCAAGAACTAGAAGTACGTTGAGCTAAGATCAGTAGAACCGACTTGCAGCTAACATGATTGGTAGGAAGCCTTTTACGAGCAGTTCAAGCAGGCCACGGCAGTTGTCTCTGAGCCCGTGCAACCTAAAATCAAGTTGAAGGTTGGCCAGCAAAGCGACCAGGCCCCGCCAGCGAAGAAGATTACTCTCCATGTCGGTGGTAGCCGAGGTGAATCTGTGGACTCCCCAGCTGCATCGGCGGGTGTGGATTCGCCGGCCCCGGAGACCAACGGCACAGCAATTCCTACTCCCGTTGATAAAGCCCGCGGTCTTTCAGCGCCCGTGCCATCTCCGAGTCCGTCGGTGCAGCCACAGCCGAAGGCTGAGGATGGGCGTTCACCTTCACTACGTCCACCCAGCGTGGCATCTGGGCAGCTGACCCCAAGCGGTCCTCGGCCACCAATTCCAACTCCTCCATCGCAGCCTACAACCTATGTTCCCCCAGCTCCAACGACTCCTATGGAGCAGAAGCGGTTCCGTCGCGCTGGAAAGGGTAAGTACATATTCCCCCATTTGCAAGCAGGATTTTGCTAACATGACCAAGGCATTGAAAGTGCGCTCCTGTCGAGGGTACGGTTGCAAGCATTCCAGGGCTCGCCTGTAGACAATTACCTGACCATGACTGTGCTGCCACACCCCAAGGAAATGCAGCAGTCCGCCACCATCAACTTACCATATTCTCATCATCGGGCGTCACTCTCGGTCCTGCTTCCGGAGTTCCTTCAGGATCGCCAGTACAGTCTCTGGACTCTACTGAATAAACAGCCTATGAAGGCCATCCACCATCCACTCCATAATCAATCACCCCAAGAAAGGTTTTTCGAGGCGCTGTTTCACCAAGGGACCAACGTTCTCGAAACACATCTCGTCGCAGCCATCCCTCAACATGAACGCGTCGTCGGCGGACCAGAGGTTGAGTTGGAGGTCTTCACTATATTTGTGAATGTGCTCAGGAATTAGGGGCATTCGGAGCGCCATTAGGGGTTGGAGGGGGTTGATGATCCAATAGCTGACTCGGCTGTCACTGAACTTTCTGGTAGAGGCGCGCATAGGAGTGAAGAGTCAGCAACCGAGTATTTCTTGGGACGGCCTCTAGGGAGGTCTTGAGTGTAATTCAGTCTAAGGCGTATCATGGGTTGGTGTGTTACTAGGTTCTGGTAGACCGGTGGGCGAAAACTATCTTGGCGGGACAAGGATGGCATGTGTTTTTTTCTTCTTTTTTTTTTCTGCAGCACTCAAACAAGCCACCTAAAGTTGATCTGACTATTCGTTGCGTAGCCTACGTAATTTGAGAGGTGTTCATGTATGGATGTCTTGCGTAGCGTCGAACTGGCAAGCAGTGGCTCAGGTGGCACGTGTCGTTGGTTGCACAGCGCCGGCAGTGGCGTTATATCGTGCAGCAGACGTTGCCAGATATGGTTCACCTCGCTGTTGGCGCAAGACATTCATCCACTTCACTTCGAATTTCTCAGAATACTGATACATGCTAAGGGTTATTAAACTAAACATCGAAACGTGGAATGCCGGCTGGATGAAATGAGCCATGTCGGGCAGGCCCCCCACTTAGATAATGATGGCAGCAGGGGTCCCAGCTAATCTCTCGTCATTGTTGCTTCCCGCGATCCGTTCGTTCGTTCACTGATAATACCCGGACCCGAACTTGCCTCGTTGCCAACCGCTCCTCACCGACTTTGATAGACGACTTGCGGCCCGAAAGCCCAACGGACCCATCGGGATCTTCGCCCATACATGTATCCAGCTTGAACCTGTAAAAGTGCCGTGCAGCCTGTGAACGCCCATCTCGTTGCTGTCCCCTTGCGTGTTGCCCTGCCCCGACCGTCGAAAGCTTAAAACGCACCTTCATGGTCAACCGGTTTCAACTTCGGACGTAGCGCGGGTGCGCACGCGGGCGCATCGCGTCTCCTCTTTGTCTTGTGATGCCGACCTACTTCAAGTTCACACAGGGCACCGAGTCGCGCGTCCGTCCCAACGACTCGTCGCCGCTCCTGGGTCGATTCCGCGCCGTGCCACCCCGGGACCAGCAGTTCGCGGCCAGCCAGGTCAATCGCCTTGACGTCGCCGGAGGGCGCGGGAGTGTGCATGTGGGATATGGCGCGCTGGTGATTGCTGGTTTGGAGGGCCACCAGGAGGACGACGAGGACGACGATGTTAGCACCGAGGACCTCGACGGCATCCCCAGGCTGGAGCGGCTTTGGCAGCGTTGGGTCGTGGATCTGTGGGTGCATCCGCGACAGGCAGCTGTGAAGAAAATTGCAGAAAAGTGGTATACTCGCTATGGGCTCTTGGTGTTTTTGCCCGCCGTACTGGTTAGTATTCCTGGGCCTGTATCCCCTCAATGTGTGCTGATGGGACTGACTGGATGTTGCTGTGTTGCAATATAGACTGTTGGGTGGTGTTCGCTGCCATTTCCGCAGTATCCGTTACCTCCCGGCCAAGTCGATCAAAACCCCTCGGACGTACACAACAAAGCTCCCGGTCACGGAAATGCCCGAGTGCAGGTCAACTTTTGGTTCTTCATATTCGTCTACTACGGGCTCTACAGCCTGACGGCGCTGATATGGATAACCAAAGTGTTCAACCTCTACAGCTTGAACTGGTACGCAAGCCCAAGTGTGAAGTTCTGATGCAGACTAAGACACTAACACATTTTTAGGTGGCCACAATCTCTCGGGTTCCCTCTCACATTTACTCTTATTGCTATCCTATCTGTGACGGTTCCCATACCCATCTATTACTATGACCAAACGAGGTTTCTAACTGTGCATAACACCTCTTGGATCTCGTGGACTTTTATCATCATGGCTCTGCCGGTCACTATCGCAGTCCTAATCCTGCGGAATAACGAACGCCATCTCGGTCTGCGAAACTCACTGTCAGAGACTCAGCGGATATTCACCGCCTCCTGGTGGACAAATGATGTGGATACCCTCTCTAGAAGAGAGCGTCGACGGGGCAATAGGTCGACAGATCCATTCGGTGGAGATGACGTGCGAGTATCGAGGGGTTCAAGGTTACGTAGCTTTAGGCAGCGATGGTTACCGGCAAGCTTCGTCAGATTTATTTGGTTCTGCGTTGCTCTCTATATCGGACTGATGGCATATGTCTTGGGAGAAGCATACGCCGAAATCTATCTGAGAACCTTGCCCCACGATAGTTTCGAGACTCTCATTTACGTCTACGGCTGGGTTGTGACCGTTCACCTCCTGGACGCCCTGACAGGGTTCGTTCTCGGTATACGTGAAGGCGAGCGGGTTGGAAGCTACCCTCTGAGCTGGGTATTCAAGCTGTAAGTTGCACTTTGGGATCGCTCGCATATCTGAAACAACGGTGACAGCTACTGACTGGATACCAGGTACTTCATGCTGACATATCAGACATATGTCAGGGCTCTATACGCCCGACTTCGCTCGCCAGGCCAGTTCATCATGCTGCAGATCTTTTCGTCTACAGGGCTTGTTGTCATTACTCCGATCATGATGACGACCGTCTTCCACAAAATCCTGACCATCCTTGGTCTGTCGACGCTGAGTTATGGGACCTACCAGAAGCTGCAGACACGCAATGTCTTTATCCGTTTTCTTGCCGAGAACGCCTCCATGGCGTGCTTCCTCGGCAGCATCCTTGTCCTTCACTATGGAGCAAACAAGGACGTATACCCTTATTTTGCGTTTGATGATGAATCAGAGGACTACGATTTCGATCGTACCTTTTACCTGTCCACAGTCACCTGGGGCTGTGAGCTGATCGCGAGCTTGGTGGTTAGAGGCCTCATCAGGGTCATCTTCGGGGTCGACGTCGGGCTCGAGGGCAAGATGGACCTCGCGGTCTGGCCCGAGCTGCTGCCGACCTGCGTGGTCGTGATCCTCCACGTTTTGCAGAACATGTTGTTTTCCATCATTCGATTGCAGTTCCGAGCATAAGCATAGCGAAATGAGAAAACCTCTTTGGGTTTTTAGTTTGTGTATTTTTGTTGCATTGTTACGATTGTTTTCTTCTTCTCTCTTTCCTCCTTCTTGTTTCCGCGTCATGCTACTTATGATCACACCAAAGGCGGGGGAAGGAAATTTGTGTCGAGAAATGTTACGTTGATACCCCTTAGATCGATTTTTGTTGCGGAAGAGGAGATGCGGGCGTTGCGTCACATACACTAGATAAACTCTTACTCATGATCCCGGCTTGCTTGCTTATTATTGATTTTTTTGGTCGTCTGGGTTTCTAAAAGAGGTACTCCGAGACTAAATGGTCACTATTTAATTCCAGTAGTTTTACGCCCGCCGGGTTCGGGTCCCCGCTGGACATGCTACGGTATGCATGATGGGCTGGCTCCGTCCTGCACAACATCAGATGCAAGATGGGAGGCGAAGTAGGTAGTTCCAGGCATGCAATGTTACGCATGTATGTGTGGTCAGTCATGGAGTGGTGAGCTCCCAGGGAGGTTTGCCGTAGCCCGCAGAGCTGGGACCGAGTCCATGTCGGACAATACGAAGGTTGGTATATATTATTGTACAGGTTATATCCTGCTGATGCCCACCATCACCGCCTCTGTAGAGCTTGGCTATCAAGCACCATCTCAGCCATGGCGGGATGTAGTACGATTACGTCGATGGGAGGGAGGGATCCCCCTTGAATGGGGTTTCACCCCTCCACCCCCTCCAGTCCATACATCGATCGGCTTTCCAAGGCCAATATTATCTCGCCGTGGCGTCTCGTCGAGGGATGGAATGGATGGGTGGATTGAGAATGCGTCCAGGTGAGAAACAAGCCCAAGGCAATAATCATCTAAAGCAGCAAGTCGCTGAGCAGGGGGGACAAGGGCCTGGCTCGAATCTTTTAGCCGGGTGCCCACCTCGTAACATCCACAGTTCGCTGTTCCCCTAATGCAAGCCCAGTCACGGCGAAAATCACAGGGAGGTGGAGAGATGTGGATAAACAGCGGTGAGTGCAGGGCGAAGGAAAGGAAGGGGGGGGGAGGACGGGAAAAGGCGTGAAAACCCTATCCGCACGATGGTTGCTGCGTGCAGGTTGTTGCGACAAATCAGTTGCAGGGGGGCTGCCGCATGGGCCGCCCTATTGGTGAAGGGCATCCATGAGGCAGGCAAGGAGCCGTCTATGTTCTCCGACATTAATGGACAGAGTGAGACTATGGAGAGCTTGGCTTGGATCTGCTTGTTTTGCAGGTGTGTAGATATGGAAGATACGGGTGAATGGGCCCTGTCAGTGAGGACCTCTTTGACTTGGGGGAGAGCCCGAGCTGCCCGCCCCGACTAAGCGAATCAGCTAAACTGGCAACAGGCAGGCTTAAACTCGACTTCGGGAACCAGCATGCATCGTGGAGACATGTGAATGAGAATCAGCGAGTTGTCGACCAACTGCCATCCACGGGTCGTCCCCACAGGATGATGATGCGACTCCCATGATACTGAGATAAGTGGCGGGTCTTCTTCTTCCCGATGTGCATCGTGCATCCATACAAACCAGGCCGTGGCGCTCTCTCAACGGCTGGGGCACGCATGTAAGTAGGTAATAGTCATATGTGCGCACGTATGTGTTTATGTATCCGCGTGGATGTATGTGTGAGCGGCATGCCACCTATGCTCTCTTCTCTCGTATACACCCACCTCAACTCGAAGCAACCACGGGCCGTGCTCCGCTTCAGATTGGACAGAGGCCGTCAACCTACTCCCAATCCGACCAGTCCTCTCAGCTTACTGCCGGCTTCCTTGCTTCCCACGGCTCTGGCTGTCAAATAAGAAACCCAGTCATGGCCGAAAAGTCAAACCACGTCCAGTCCATGCAAGCAGGAAGGCAGAAGGCGCCCCGCAATTAGTCGGGCCTCCACAGTACATATAGCCTACCTTGGAAGTTTGATCGCAAGAAAAGGGACCGGCAAGGCCAGCGGCAACAACTCGGGGGTGGGCTGCAGGAGAGGCAGAGCGGCGAGCAGAATTTTCCTAGCTAAGGCAGGTACTGAAATGGAATTCCAATAATCAGAGAAGCGATATGTGCGCATGTCCACCCTGGTGAAGCACGGGATGAGTCAACCGTGTGATGTGGAGGGGTGCTCCGGACCAGTAGTGACGGCAAGACAGACGGTGGAGTTGAGGGGCTTATCGGCGTGGTCACTTGCTGAGCTGGTGATGAGGAGAGGATGCGATGTGTTATGTGACGAGCAGTCGAGCTCGACATGATTCGGGGGCTTTCGCAAGCATGGCACGGGAAGCGGGCTGAATGGTGCAATCTCTAGACACGGCTGTGGATGCCGCCAGTAGCAGGCATATTGCCATTTCGATTAGGTATTAAGTCTTAGGCGCTTGAAGCACGCAGAAGCACGCACCAAGAAGGCTCCAACCAGTGGATATTACAGTGGGTTGGCTGGTGACCCAAGAGGGCTAGAAAAACATGGGAGAGATGCCACAGGTAAGCAGCCTTGCCTTATCTCTCCCGCTAAGACGACCCGAGGCAATAAACCTCAGAGCGGCGGTTGATGATCAGGCAATGTGCAACGGGTTCCCTGCTCGTTCTTGGTTGCCGTTGGGCACTTCTCGGCGGAAAAGAAACAGGATTCTAGAAGACCCGTTGGTTACGCCCGAGGAAGCTCTTTGGAAGGAATGTGGTCCCTGGCCCAGTCTGTCACCGAGCACGTACCCAATACATCCGGGGCCGCAAGACCAGAGTGACCCGAGAAGCAGTTTGTCATGTATCCTCCACACCATCCTGGAGCTTGGCTTTTCACTTGTGCCATGCCGCTGCATCTTTGCGAATCTGTGACGGGGCCATGTCTGAATGCGTCGTATCAAGCAAGTACACGAAGCCAGCTATCATGGCCCATCACTCGAGGGTGAGAAAAGCCCGCCGGTTGAGCATGTATAGCCAGAGGTAATAGTTTGGAATGGCTCGGGGCATGCATAGATATCCATGCCTATACAATGTCGTGATTCCTAGCCGAGACGTCGCGGCCAAACAAGCCGGCCAGAGGTTAAGTCAACCAACACCAACAACCCGCGTCGGCTTGCTAGCAACCAGGCAAGCCAATACCTGAGATGGGCATGAGGTCTGTTAGTAACTCAGTAGCCGGTACATGAATCATGCCCCTAGGTACATCAGCAAGGCCGGAGGGATAACAGGCTAGTGCTTGCGCATCACACCAGTCAGCCAGTCCTTGGCCGCTTGCGATGGCCAGCCGGTACGCTGCACTCAAGCGAATGCTGAGCTACTGTAGGTAGACAAATGGATGATTCACGTTTTCACAACCCACAGTACCTGAGACATGACAGGCAGTAGCACGGCAGTGGGGCATCTAGTGGTCGGTCCTCTTTTGCATACCTGCTCCGTCCTTCCTGGCCCTTGCACCGAATATATGATACATACATCGGCATGCGCTCGAAACACCGCTGATTGCTGTGGCGCGCGGCCAGAGTCGATGGCCTGCTGGTGGGGTTCGGAACAGTGTGGCTTCAGTGATCAAGAGAAGAAGCTGCGAAATGTACCTAATAAATTACTTCCTAGTCGAGATCCAGCTGCTAGCCCACCTGGCCCCTCCGCGGCATGCGATTTGCTATTTGCTCGCCTCGCGGGTAGAGCACCAGCCGGAGACCCTTTTACAGGTCATTCTAACATCTGAGCTTGCCAATCCGCGCCGGTATGGTGAGATGTTGTTATAGTGCAACTTCACCGCCTGCCCGTTTACTCAACAGAGAGCCGTCTAACCCGCTCGTGCGCTGGCGTGATCCGATACCTGCCTACGGCTAAGAGGAGCTGGAGTGACAGCGCTGGGCAAGGAAGGCTGGCGGGTTGATTTTTTTCCCTTTTCCCTGCACGGCTCCTCCTCCACCAAGCCCCTCCCTCCGATTCCCGAGTGCCCACTCCAACTCCAGCCAGGCCTACCCAACCGGGCCTAATGTACCTGCCTTACGTGCAGAGGTAGCTGCCCCTCCATCCAAACGAGGGACGGTACAAGCACCAGCACGTCCATCGTTCCTGCCTGGCCACTCCCACTTGCGCCTACCTGCCACCAGAACAGGCCAAAACCGCACCTCAGCACAGGGCAAGCGCAACCCATAATTGTACTGGAAACACACCGTTATCTTGCTCGTACCTGCCCTGCCTGTGCTTGCGCTCCTGCTGTAACCTGCGGTACCCTGTCAGGTCACCTCTTGCCGGCCTGCTGCACGGCGCTCGCTCCAGTCCGCGTCAGGTCGCTTCCACTCTTCCCGTCGCCTGTAATATTTTCCTCTTGCTCCCCCTCCTTCTCCTTTCCCTCCTCCCTCCTCCTACTTCCTCTCCCTCCTCACAATGTCCGCTCAGGGTCATCAGAACCCTGCCTCCTCGACCGGCGGCTCAGATTCCAACAACACACTCACCACCTCTCAACAAGATGCCTCGGGACGACAGCCCTCCTCCCCCTCCGCCTCCTCCGCCCAACTCACCAGTTGGAAGGTAGAGCTGCGTCGGAACCTGCGCTCTTTCCCTGACTTCCCCATCCCCGGCATTGACTTTGTCGATATCATGCCCCTCTTCGCCAACCCGACAGCCCACGCCGCTCTCGTCTCTGCCCTCGAACTCCAGATTTCCGAGTCCTTCAAAGGAGGCCGGCCAGATGTTATCGTCGGCCTTGACGCCCGCGGCTTTCTCTTCGGCCCCGGCCTTGCACTGAAGCTCGGTGTTAGCTTCGCTGCTGTTCGCAAGAAGGGCAAGCTCCCCGGCCCTTGTGTTACAGCCGAGTACGTCAAAGAATACGGCAAGGATCTCTTCCAGATGCAGGAGGATGCCATTAAGCCAGGTCAGAAGGTTCTGATTGTCGACGATATCATTGCCACTGGTAAGTGCAGACTTGGAGTTCATTTTCTTTTGAGCCCATGAAATTCCCCATGTTGCAGGAAGAAGAATGAATATTAACTCTTATATCTACAGGTGGTTCTGCCAAGGCTGCACACGATCTTGTCAAGCAGCTGAAAGGCGAGGTCCTTGGTTTCCTATTCATCCTCCAGATCCCTGGTCTTAATGGTCGCGACAAGCTCGGAGATGCTCCTGTCGAGATTCTCTTGGAGGATGCTTAGAGCCAAGCAACCGAATTCTTTGAAGCTCCACCTCAATATTTGCGCATAGAGAAGGTCCCACACCCGTCTCTAATATCACTTGGCCCTATATTCTCCTATTTCCTTTTTTTTTTCAATATCGAAACTCAACAACCATACTTCTGGATTTCTCAGGCGTTTCAGGTTGAATCAAATATACAAAAGTTGGGCTGGAAGTGTTTTGTATTTTCTATAGACAGGAGCGCAAGTGAGCAAGGGTGGCATGTCGAGGTTTATATCCCATGTCTTCCGCATTCCGACACGGACGACCATAATGGAACCAGTTATTGTGGGGGACAGGGATCCTCAATTTCAACTTTTTTTTTTCGTGATGGATTTTTTTAGCATAACAACACGCAGTAATCTCCGGTTTTCGTTCGCAACAGGCTAGATAGAGGTCAATTTTTAAATTATCCAACATAAGAGATGTTGACTATAAATAATAAGAATTTAATTTGTGAGCTGATTTCTTGTTTATGATGTGCCCATCACTCTATCATATGGGAGGATATCGTTACTGTCGTTTATATACTATGCATCGCTTCAAAATACATGTAAAACCCATCGCTTTAACTATAATATGACGGCGTTCTCGACCGGAAGCCCCTGGCTCTGCACAACGTACTTCCTGCGCATCCCCACACCCTTGGCCTTGGAGAAGAGGCTGTAGTCGCCCGGGGCCCCGCTCAGCAGGACCATGGGCACCCCGTGGAGGCGCTTGATGCCCTTTGGCGTGAGCTGCTCCGTCTCGAGCGACGGCCTCGAGGGCTCGGCGTACTCGTCCTCGTCGACGACGATGAGGAGCTGCAGGGAGGTGGACGTGGGCGTGTAGGAGGGGATGTTGTCGACCTTGGTGCTGAAGGTGCAGCGGCCGCGGCGCATGACGATGACGGTGTGCTGGCGGGCCACGTGGTCCGGGAGCGGGCCGTCGCAGGCGTGGCCGGCGAGGAAGACGGTGCGCCAGGGGAAGTTGGCCAGCGGGTCGTGGGCGTTGAAGTTGGGCCCGTTGACGACGGGCGTGTCGACGACGGAGGGGACGGGGAAGGCGCCGCGGCCGACGGGGGTGTAGGCGGAGAATGTGTAGACGAGGGAGTCCCCCGCGGCTCCGAGGTTGGGGAGTTTTGGGGTGCCGGTGTGAGCTGGCTCGAAGACGGAGGAGAGGGAGCGGAAGAGGGACTTGATGAGCGAGTCCGAGGCCAGGGCCGACTCGGCGAGGCGGCGGCTTGCCGGGTTGGGCTGCGTGTCGATGCCGTCCCCGTCGGGGACGGCTATGCTGGCGTTCTCGGCCTCGCGGCTGTCGACTATCAGCTCGATGTCGACCACGTTGGTCCGGCGGAGGACGGTGAAGGCGTCGTCTTTGAGGTGGCGGACGTGCTCTGCGTGGAAGAAGACGGACTCGTCGCGTCCCAGTTGCGTCACGCCGACCTGTGCTATTCTCCATACGTGGTTTCCGGTGGTTTCTTCCTCTTCTCGAATCAGCTGGAGCCGCATGCCTTCCAGGTTTTTGACCGTTGGGCCTTGGTTGCTTAATCGAACGATTGAGTTGCCGAGTCGAGACACGACAGAGCTGAAGGCGTCCGTAGTTGGGAACTCAATCCAGGTAATCACACGCTCGAGGGGTGCTGAGCATGTGCCGTTGTCTCCGATTGACGCAGGCGGCAGCGTCCACGGAAAGATTGTGTGGTTTGACAAGGGCCGGTATTTTACCAGCCGCCGCCCTTTTTTCTTGTCTTCGACTTCGACAGCTTCAAGGGGCCCATGAAGGTTCGGAGTATTGTGTAGGTCTGTAAATAAGGAGGCCGCGAATAGATCTGGCCGGGCAGCAGTGGCGGATCCAAAAAGAGACCCTGCCTTGGGAGGAACAGGACAGGTGATTGTGTAATTCGCATCCGTATTCTTGGCCGCCACCATGCCTTTCTCGTCTGTGACGGGCCGCTTAGCAGGGCGAGAAGTGCTATATTTCTTGCGAGGGATGATGAGGGGATGGCCTTCGGTAGAGAAGACAAACGGCGCGTCCAATTTGTTCAGAGCATGCTCTGGATCAAAAAGTAAATACATATACTTGGCGGTTTCTCCGAGGAAGAAACTTTCCATGCGGTCTTGCTTCTCTCCTGTGCGGACGTCCTGAAGCCCGGCCCATCCGCATGGCGCATGGCATCGCCACTTGATATCTTTGAGAACCATCTCGCCAACGTACAGGTACCAAGGGTCCTTTGTGGCACGATAGATGTAATAGGTGGACTCTATAAACTCCGGACGGCCTGGCCACCAACCTATGCCAGAGTCGATGTTGTTCTCGCGGAAAGACCAACGCTCGGGAAGTGCCGAGTATCGAGTCCATAGTGCGGTGTAGAAGAGGTTTCCCTCAATAGCTTCTTCCACCTCTCCAGCAAGGGCAAGAAGTCCGGGGTAGAATGCAGCAAGACTGTCAATCCACATCGTGTAAGGCTGACCTGTTGCACGATGGTTGTTTGAGTAATAGGGGAAATGATTACGGTCCGTGTAGATGTGACGTTTCACCGATGCATGAGCCTGGTGCCACGCGTCGAGAAAAGCCTCCGACGACTGCAACTCTGAGGCGAGGGGGGCGTGAATTGAGTTTGGGTCAAGCCAGTTCGTACCACTCTGCCTGTGTGACGTTGAGATATTGGGTGCATCATGGCCGGACAGCAGCACATGGCTTTTGAAGGAATACTCGAAGAAGCTGTCGATTCCAGCCCCGATCCCCGAATGAGGTCCGATCCACAGCCCTCGCTCAGCATCAATACCGTTTCCGATCAAACCAATCTCGCTACGTCGGCCCCAAACCTCCCAGAACGCTCTTTTGGCCGCCTGCTCGAACCGAGGGTCCCCAGACAGTCGACTCAAGACAGTAAACTCGAGCGTCAGACTTCCTGCACCTGCACTACAGGTCTCCGTGATTTCACGGTTGTCCTCCGGTCTGTCGTCGTCTGAAAAATTATGGAGAGGCGAGTTGACATAAAACGGGATACCGTGACGCAGGTTGACACGTGGGTATGGAATGCCCGTAGAGGTATAGAAGGCCGGGAGAAGCCTTTGGCCAAGATCCAGGGCCAGCCGTAGGAGTTGTCCGTCATATTTGAAGCCGTTGGGCCAGGGGATAGGAGGTAACTCCAAAGGATCATTACTTTTTGCCGCCGTGACGGGACTAGGAGCATATCCAGCCATGGGCAATTCTCCGATGGCAAATAGATGGGCACTCAGAAGCCCTCCAACTCCACGGATGACAGTCTCGAACACTTGGACTTTACTGTCGAGATCGAAGCCAAAGGATCGGATCCCTTGCCCAGTCTGCCCGGTCCTTCCATCCCCGTAGTATTCTACAAACTTGGTTACGCCATCTTGGAAATCGCTGAGAGCCTGCGGCGCAGTATACGCTTCGTCCTTCGGTCCGCCAGCCAGTATCGCAAGGGTCGACAAGCTATCGATGAGCGTCAGGGAGTAGTTTCCGAGGGCGTCGTTCAGGCCAATCCGAGTGGGATCATCTCGATCTCTCGTCAACGAGGAGCACGTCAATGGTCGCAACTAGGAGGGGTCAAATATTAGTATAAATTCATACGGCGTAGTTGCAGTTACTATCTATAGAGCATACCTCATCTTCAGGGAACGCATGGTCCATGTAGTTGTTGAAGCCATGGTAGAACATATCCACCGTCTCTTGACGCAACTGCCTCAGGTAGTCGTCGCGCATGGCCTCGGCCATCCATGGCGTCAGGATGCACAGACATATTATCAGAAGGATATACATGACGGCGTTCGGCACACAGCCCGTCAGGCTGGAGAGGAAATAATCGATGAGCAAGGGCTCCACGTGCGCCGTTCAACGCTCATTTGGAGGGTTCTTCAGCGATGTTTGGCGGATTATGCAAATGTGAATTTGTTTCGGCACCGATAGGCCGTCTTTTCGAGTAAGCAGGCCCAAACAACACCGCACAGCGGACGTAATGTTGGGCTCTGGCGGGCTGTACGGCGTCTTGGAGGCGACACCGATTCATTTCGCGATGTTGCCATCTTTCCAGCGCCACGTTTAAGCGTGATGGTGTGGCTGGTGCATGTGGCTGCAGATGTGCCTTACATATTAATTCAAGGCCTCTGATTCGCCAGTTCTTACTAACAACAGCCTTATCAAGAACAACGTTATAACGTCCCGCTACTCAATCGGTTCGATAAAAGCTTGTTTGCCTCTCTTTTGATTTCCGTCTTTAGCCATTTTCTTCTGTTTTGGGGCGCAGAGCATGCCGGATCTGGCGGTATGGTCTTCAGCCTCTCGCTTGTCGTCGCTTACCGCGTCAAATGGCTATCAGAAAAAACAGGGACTACAAGGGCACCTCGACAGAAATACTGTGGCAGGCAATCATATGATAATGCTTCCTATTGTGTGATAATAGGTAAACCATATTGCTTAATAGTTACTCAATAATTCAGTATCATTATTATTAACTACTTGTTGTCTATCAATGTCGCGGCCTGTATTGGAAAGTTGCAGTCCGTATTACTGCATTCTGGCACCCACTTGCCGCGTCCAACCAGCCAGCCCTGGCTTAAGGTTGGGGCGTGCACCACATCATCGAGCACTCACATGATCTACGGGTAGCGTCAAGCGCTTAGACATTCAACAAACTAAAGTCAGCTACTCGTTTAGCAGCCTGTCGGAGGATGTCCTCGCGCTAGATGCCAATGCAAGGTTTCGCCTTTCCAGGGGCTAGGCTTCACGAAAAGAGCACTATGGCACCCCCTTCATCGTGGACAACTCGACCATCTCGCATTCGACACTCCCAGACTGCTCTAGTAGCGGTTTGTGGATACAGGCTAAGGCATGCCGCTGTCGTCGTGGCTCATCGGTTTTTTATATCCTCAGAGGATACCTAACCCTTCATTAACCCAGGTCGCACCAGGCATCTCCGCCTAAACTAGCTCAAAACTTCCTAGAGCGGCGCTTAGAGTGGCTACCACGGCGTCTCTCGTGGAGGGTATACCCATACATCCTGTGACGTGCTACCAAGCGCCCACTTCCCACCAGCTAAGCCCAGTTCTAAGCCACGGCATCTGGCCGCGTGAAGACCCCCTGCCCAGGGTCCTGTTCAGGACCGAGCACCACACCTCATCTTGCCCAAGTAGGAATCGGACGAGAAAAGACGACTAGCGATGCACGCCGCTGTTAGAACTAGGCATCCTCATCGTCCGGCGTTCATGTGAAGCTAGCTGCAAGGATGGACAGACCGGAATCGCGCGGCCTCAAATCCGTAGATCCCTCTCGGCCGCTGTTTTAGTCCGATGGCCTTGTCCTGACGCTGCGTCTGCGCGTGTGCGTGCCCCTTGCGCATGTTCTCGGCTCTTCATCCTCTCCAATCGGGAGTGAGGTGAGAACCTTGTCCGGGCACGGGGTCTGCATCCGGAGAGGGTTCATACCTGCCTAGAAGCGACCTCTCAACAAGATGCCAGAGAGTGGAATCGGCCAGGTTCCGTGGCTCGCTGGAAATTGGGCTCTGTGGTACGGCGAAGTCGTCCCATTCAGCGGCCAGACCTGCCTAAAAGGACAGACAATAAGCGTCCAGAAGCGAACACCTGCCAGCAACTGGGCTCCCATGTCGGAGTCCGGAGTAATAATCTTCTGACTGTGCGTGCTGCTTCAATGGCTGGGGTGGTACAAACAGGGTGTAGTACTTGGTCTCGGTCTAGTTGGCCTCGGGCACAACGTCGTCACCGACGTGCTGCTTGATGACCTGGCCAGGCATATTGTGGAATGCGGATCTTTTGCCATTTTTTCCCCTTCTCTCTGCCGTATTCTAACGCCTGCCTGACAAACGAAGCAGGGCTCTTCCCAGTCCCCATCTCATACAAGCGGTCGCCTCGTAGCGGCTGTGGAGCACAGATCAAACAAGCGCGTCAGGTAGCCCGTGGAGCGAATCTCCTATCAGCCGAAACAAGGGTAGGTGTAAGGGTAACACGAAGGAAGATGACAGGTGGGAGGAAGGGCAATCGACTGGACACCCTCTCCATGAATTGCGCTATCACATTTCGCCTTCATATCATGCTCGGCAAGTCTACCGACCAAAATGGGGGATGGTCTGGGGGGTGGGAGGCAGGGGAAGAAGGAAGCTTGGCCTCATCAAGAATCAACCCCATCTCCCACCGTTGACAATGGCCTTTGTGTGTACATCAAAATGGAAGACGTTACGATAATCGTCTAGCGCGCGCGAGTCGTCGCAAAACAAGATCCCGCGGTAGGCGGAAAAACATCGTACGTTGTAGGGTACACTGCTAAGCGAGGGTGTTGGTGATTGACGGTTGAACTCGCAAGAACAAGACCACTGACGGCCAGGAGTGTTGGTAGCCGGCGCTTAACTGCAGAGTAGAAAGGCTACGATCGACGAGATTGGGAAGGGTTCGAGGCAAGGGCTGTCACGTTACAAATGCTGGATGCGGAGGTTCCGCACTTGGTGAAGTAGGTGGCTGCCCCCCCTGGCTTGATCCCAGGCGTGTCGACAATAACCAGGATACTGATGTACTCCGTGCAATTGTGATGCTTCTGCCTGATTCCAGACGGTGTCCATTGTCTCAACCCATTCAATTCCACTTGTACATGGTGCGTGTACTGTATACAGCCCGCTCGGCGAGCAGATGCAAGTGTTGGAGGGGGGGTGGGAGGTCGGTCGAAAGTAGCGCAGAGACGTGGCTCACTTTCCATCCACAACATGTCATACATATCAGGCCCTTGCCCGCAAAATCGAGTCTGCGAGTGGTTGGTCAATACATGTAGTAATTGAGCCCCCTCGCCCCAGGTTAGGCCGACCTACAGGCGGCGCTTGACCTCACCTCTCCATCTCAGAACGAAGACGGCACAAGAGATGGCGACAGCAGCTCATCTCCCCTTCAAAAGTCCTCTTATTCCAGACTCCGCACTGGTTCGGCGTGAAATATCGGTCAGGACATTCCGCGTAAGCTCTACGACTCGTATTGACCGACTACCTCCACCGCAATTTACCAAGCTGTCGGGACGCAAAGTCGGCCGCGCTGGACAACTGGCAAGGCATAATTTTGCGTCCTTTCTATTGAGCCTGGCCGATAGAATGGCCATGGGATATGCCTGGAGACGCTAGAGGCTACAGTAGTAATAGAAAAAAAGGTGGTTGACATTGCGCATCCGCCAGCCAGTTGGAGCGGCAGTGGTTCTGAGAGGGTGATGAGGGGCGGACTTTTTTTTCCTTTTCGGCTCGGTCAATTCAGACCGTCCCAGGCTGTTCAGATTCACACGTATGAAGGGTAGTCTCCAAAGCAAGGGCGCATAGAAGCATGTCTAGTAACGTTCGACAAGAAACCAGAGCAATAGCTATTCAGTAAAGCAAAGTTGAAGACACATCTCCCTAGAGCTTCGAAAGCTACAGAGCGTACTTCTCTACCTTTCATTTAATTCCTCAAGAAAATTTCAGCCAGGACCACTGCGAGTCCGGGTTGTAAACATGAAAGTACCTGCTAGAGGTCAGTTTCTGATATAAGACATCGCATATCAAGGTCCATCCAAGCGACTCCAACCATCCACATCCCATAGGACTTCGTGAAGCCAGTTCCATCGGTAAAAAAGGAACTCTTGACAGGTTTTGGGGCCATTTGGATTTTAGTCATCTTGGGGCTGTTGGCTGTACCCGCCTCCTGAGCCGATCTCCGGCATTTGGCTCAACGTCCGCCGCCACGATCAATTGTCCGAAACGAAAGTTTTCCTTTCAAAATGTAAAATGATTCAGAGTACTCGTACAGGAATTTTTTTTCGACTTTCGTTGGTGCAATTGTCAATACCGCGTTCTGTACAATGGTAAGGCTGAGACTGCGGACCAGCAACTAGGGCTGGGGCAACCACCACTCCTGCAAATCGCCATCCGAAAGGGAAATCCGGGCTACCGAGGCTTCTGTGCACAAGGAAACAAAGCTGTTTCTATCAACTTTCTCTCTCTTGCAGCACTATGTGACTTGGTACAACGATGCTTGGGTTCTTGGCGGTTAGGGTGAAACATACAGATGACCCAGAATCTATTCATATTCATCTCAAGACTCCAATTTCAATCGTAGAATGCTTTTCAATGGATTGGAGCCTCTCAGTAGGCTTGTAGGTCACAGTGTCTTGTGCCGATGATAGGGTTCCCACAGCCGAGCCCCTTAAACCCAACTCAGCGATATGCATAAGATCCTTTTCCGGTTGATATTTCTTCTTGATTTAAGCATCAAAACAATTCGTAATGTGAACATGCTTCGGCAAATCAGTATCGGCTATTGGGATCCTGTTGGTTGAATCGGCTCGCAAAGTGCCCTACGTACTACCGGCGGCACTGCGTAGCAATGAGCCTCCACGGCACATGAAACTATGCATAACCCAGACCAACCAGAAACCTAGTGCACAACACATTCCGCAGGGAGATTTAGCATTACAATGGAAAAAAGCAAATACATGTCCCACCAGCCAATACAACGGCAAGTGAATCTGACCAGCCTATAAGGATCCGAACTGTGAGACTGTTTCAACTCAAATGGCCAGAGCTCGACGCAATGGAACCTCAGCAGCGGAGCCCAGCCGGACAAGGGTATCGGACGACGTGATTGAGGAGAAAAAGACAAATGTCCGTATCTGTCTGATCCTGATGCACCACTGCCCTCATTCCGAACACCATTTGACCCTTTTACGCATTCAGTAAGATGTGTCGTTACTGCTCCTCATGGCTCACCCATGGCATTTGACCTGGTGCCTAGCAAATTGCGCTTGGGCCCTGGGCTAGAACGTGTGTAAATCATCATCTATCAATCAAGGGCCCACTCGTGTACTAGGCCGAATGCGGAAAGATACATCGTCCGATTAGGTAATTTTTGCAACCACTCCAGCAATGTACCTCCACGCCCTCAAACCCTTCCAGCTCAGAGGGCGATGGGAATTGAGCATGAACAACGCCCCAAATCACTTCAACAAGAGGACGCTAATCTACTCCAGACCGTCGTTATATTAGCATCATCAGGTATCCAGCCTTAACGGCCCCCAAATTCTCAAACTTCGTATCGGCCGCTCTTTTCCCAAGAACCATTATCCCATCATTCAATGCGCGTCAGCCTAGGTAAACGTGCTGAGCAGACACACCCCTCCCCCCGGTAGACCTTGGGGTAGAGAGCCGGTACGTACTGCGGTACGTACAGGCAGAGCAACCACAGGGGGTTAGTCCGGCCCCTCACCCCGGCTATCCCTAGCTGCATGGGTCCCCTCCTCTGCGATGTCGAGCAAGCGCTTCCAAATATGCCCGGTTTCCTGCACGTTTATGGGCGACCTACCCTCCCAAGGAAACCGTCACGGTGGCGCAGATCCCCCCCTAGAAGCTCGACGGGGAGAAATAACGGATAGCATGCCATGTCTCCTCCGCGCCCCCCGTCAGATGGGATTTGGACAGCAGAACGTCCCATGTTTCCTCTTTGGGAAAATCTGGCGGGATGGCAGGTGTAGTTCAGTCGCTGGGGGAGGACAAACCCTGGACTGACGCTCAAGCGTGCGAAATGTGGGTTGTCCCCTGCCCCCCTGCCCCCTGGGGCTCATCTTCGCTAGCTCTTTTAGACCCCTGCTAGTCCCGCCATGAGCCCCATTTGTTTTTTTCTTTGATTTTTCTCCGGCTGAAATCGACCCACTTCTTCTCCCTGCCCGTTTTACACACTTTCCCTCCACGTCTGGTTCATCGGCTTCCGACGTCCGCGGCATCTGGCAAATTTGCGATTGCTCGCCCAAACCTATGTAGCTTTTCAGGACGGGCGACTCACCAGATGGCATGTGGAGCCAAGATTGGGCTTCGTTGTCTCCTCTTTGGCCGGAACGCCAAGTTGCCGCGCACGCCAGCACAGCACAGCATAAACCTATCATCGTAAGGCTGGATGCTCACATGGCACATGCGACTTGTGGATTGGACTTTCGTACAAGTCCGCACCTTCTCTACCGCTACGATTCCCATAGCGTCGATAAACGTGGAAGCCCGTGAATCACTTCGCCCCCCAACGAAACCCTTCTCGTATCGTTCCTTTCGGTAGATCGTACGGTAGACAGCCCGTTTCCCTGCCGCCCGCAGAGGTTAGTGTTGATAGCCTGGTAACCCCTCCGCATCCGCTCGTCCCCGTCGGACATGACCGCATGCGCTACAGCTTGCTCTAAAGAGGACCCTCCCTTGCATCATTGACCTGAGCCTCCAAGCACAGCTGTCGCGAGCGAGTAATATTGAAGATTAACTCTCCCCTTCCCGCCCCACATCGCACCACGATATCAACCACGTACCCCTGTCATCGTTCACAGTGGATCGGTTAACCTTTCAAACCCATGTCAATCCAGTCTCCGTAGTGAGGTACAGCTACAGACAAATTGAAGAAGCGGGCAAATTCAGGGTGCAATGTATGTGATTGTCGCGCTAAACACGTGTAATACTTTGCAAGAAACAGAACAACAGGCTCATAGGGAAATCATTGTGGAATAAAAGAAAAAAAGAAAAACAAACACTCCGATAGATAACAAGCAAGCCCACATCTTTTTCCGGTATAAATTCGCTCCTGATGCATGTGAAATCCAGTAGTAATCAGCCACCCAAGTATGTTGAACCCCCACAAGCCCCCCTGCAGAAACCAAGCCAAAAAACAATGCACTACCCCTTCGACGAGAAGATTTGGACCATTCTAATATGTTATTCCAGAGACCGTGAGGTAAGGAAATTGTATGTCGTGATTTATTGACCCGACGTCCCCAAACGAATATGCAAATGCCGCCATGCGCCGCGCCGTAGAGAAGAAGACAGAAACAAACGAGTGCCATTGAAAAGGAGAACTAATATGGGATGGCCCAATAAGCTCATTCTTTCTTCCCTCGGTCAAATGCGCCACGAGTGTGGGCTGCCGCACCAGGTTCCATTTTGACAGCACGGCGCTCGGGCACCTGAACCTGGATGGAATCAGGCGTTATGAGGGAGCCATGCTCCCACTGCGGTTGCATCTGAATCTGGTGGATGACTTCATCCTGGTGGCGCGTATTCTGGAAGCCGTGGGTAGGGATCCCGTGGGCAATTTCCGACTGCTCAAAGTATCGCTTGCCCTTCTCTGACAGCTTGCGCCGCCTGCGAACGCCGCTGTCATCTAACGGCTGTATGTAAATATCCTGTTCAAGGTTCAATTCGACGAGTTTTGCTTCGATATCTTTTTCGCTCGCATTCATGTTGCGGGAGCCGCCAAGTTCAACGAACTTGTTGAGGATTGTCTGGTATCGCTCTTTCTCAACAATCCACCAGGCTTGACGAAGGAGGTTCTCCTGCAATTGGATAAGTTAGCGAACGTATTGCTACAGTGGGCGGTGTGATTCTCTTGGAAGGGGTCGAAACCTACATCATGATCGAGCCATTGGTACCACCTAGACCGACCGCGATTGTACTTCATCTGCAGCTTCTCCTTCGTGATGGCTTTGGAACCAAACGCTTTAGCATGGTCCCTAATGACACTGTTCCACATGTCTTGACCCTTCTGGTGTCGATGGCGCCAGCGCGATTCAAAAATGCACCTTTCCTCAGCCGGGCAGCCGTCTTTCAAAAGCGGCGGCACCTCTTCTCCGTGGCAGTTTGTGTTCTCCTCGACGGGCTCGCGTGCCTGGACTAAGGGGCGTGTTGGCATAGACCTGCGGCTGGCTGCGCTCCGTTTTCTGCTACGGACCCTAGATGCCGTACGGGAGTGCCTGGACGGAGATCCGGTAGGCGGGTAGGTGCCGCCTGACCTCAAGGAGAAAAGTGGTTCGTCGCCGTCTCGAGGCTCTGACTTGATGCTGTGGAAATGCAGAGGCAATGAGCGAGTCATGTTGCGTGGAACATCGAGAGGAATGGAGTGGTCGTCCCTCAACAAGTGGTCTACAGGCTGCGCATTCTGCATCATGTAGAAAGGGCTGCCTTGGTGCTGTAGTCCATGGGGCAGTGTGCCGTCTGAGACGCCGAAGGAACCCATGTATGCTTCGGTGGGAGGGTTGGGGGTCCGTCGGCCGTCTACAACTACGTAGGACGGCTCGCCAAAATCACCAGGAGTGGACGTGGGCTGGGTCATTGGAGAGCCGCTCTGGCTTGTTTGGCTGTTCATTTCGAATTGGTTCTGGAACGGATACATGCTGGTAGAATCTGGGGGGGTGAGCTCCTTGTGTGGGGTTCCTGGGGAAGGGTACTGAGGCCGAAATTCCGAGCCCGGCAGCACAAGAGGCGATCCAGCAGTCGAGTTGGGAGTTAGCAGGGAGGAGTCGCAGTGCGCCGGAAGGTTAAATGAAGCAGCCTAGAGGCATCTGTCAGTGATTAGTGTTGCCGTGCAAGGTGAGAATGGCTTACAGAGGAGTAGGGTGCGAGATCTGGGTATACGGAGCTCGGAGCTTCAACGGACAGGCGCTGTTCGTCGATAAGGCTCAATGATCCGGTCATACAAGGAGCTTGCGACACTGGATTGACAATATATGACACTTTTCCCATCATTCCTGGAAGCTCAGGGTGACAATGTGTGGGTGTCTGGTATAGGTGAATGTTGAGCTCAGATGTGGTGGCGCGTAGATGAGAGGGTATCAGGTGCGTCCAAACTGATGGCAGTTCCAAGGGACTCTGAAAAGGGAGAAGCAATGTGCGCGCTTGGCTGAAATATATGTAGAGGCTTGGTAGTCTGGCGATGGGAGAGAATTCGGGGCCAGATGAGGCTGATATAGGTACAAGTGGAAGTCAAGATAGCAAGAAGTCGAATTGAAGTCAGCCTGCCCTCAAAGTGGTCGCATACAACACGGCCAGGAAGGAGGCCCGAAATGCAACCAAGCGGTGACCTGGCAAGGGAGTTGGGAGGACGAGGGTGCGAGGATATGGATATGGAAGAAAACGAGGAAAGTGACGAGACAGATGGGAGGAGGAGCGAGAAGAAATAAGGGAGCTGAGAGAAGACTTTTGTGGACTCATCTTCACAATCGAAGAGAGGGAAGATGGCATTTTAGTAGGTAGATCAGCCCGCGGTACAAGGTATCTACAAGAAAAGAGTGTCATCCCCGGGACACCAGAGTGCGGCCACAAGGCGCTTCCTGGGGGGTGAGTGCAGTGAAGCAAAACCGTTCCCCTCCTAGGCGAACGAAAGGCAGCAGAGCAGGGGGGCCCTACCTTTGGGGGACAATACCTTTCTCCTTACGGGGCCCGAAGAGTGCGGTTCCCTGCTCTGATGCTCCTCAGAGCACGGTGCGGAGGACTTGACAGCGGGCGGAAGCTCATCTAGCTGGTAGGGCGAGAGCAGCTGTCATCCAGGCGCCGAGGTACCCTGGTTGATCAGTGTGCAAGGAGGGTCCCGCCAACCTAACCGGGGTGGTATGAGTGAGTGATTATAGCAAATTGGGACGTTAGAGGGGCGTGGCGATCAAATAATCTCTGCAAGGATATGAGTGCAGGCGACGTGCATGGAGAGGTGGAAGGGGCCTCGGAGCGGAGCTTGGTCGAGGTACATTGAGCTCCCTGTGCCGTGTCCACTAAGTCAACGTTGGATCCAGTCCGTCAGGTGCTGTCGTCCACTGCTCTCCAGGGAAACGAGTTCAGTGGGCTGAACCCCAACACCCGACCTGCAGCCCTCACCTCCATCAGTAGGTAGGTATGTGCTCTTCAGGTGGTATCCGGCTCTCCAGGTCTCAGGTGCGGATCAACAGGCTTGACGGCTTCGCAGGATGCAGAGCTGGACGCTTCTGGCAGCCGCCCGTTTGCACTGCTACGTCTCCTGCGAGTACTGCGTCCGCGGCTACGGTGGCGGGCCTCATGCGACTCGCTGTACCGACTGTACGGAAATGAGCAGTCCTTGCTGTGACTTGCTCAGACAATGGCCCAAATTGCGTGCATCATGTTGATGAGACGCTCCTCGACGCCCGCCCCGATTCCACCTCCCTGCAAACGTTTCCTCTTCTATGGTTCCCTTTCCGGTCATTTCATGCCGTGAGATGGGCCGAGAGCACCCCAGAATCGCCAATCAGCGCTGTGGCACAACAGATGTGCTCTGTAAATTTGTCGCCTCTTGCCCGCTAGGATTCACCAGACTTCCAGCACGGCAAGGCTGACGGTCTAAGGCTGTACATCCCACACACGTACGTTGCATCCATGGTGAGTACATACATACGTCAAGTCTAAAATAGTAATGCCGAGAATGGAAATTAGCAGGCTGCGGCCATTGTTTGTTGGTCGTGACTTGAGTGTTCATACCTCGTGAACTACTCCTTCTACCGCTAAAGACATGTCAGCGGGGTGATAGGTGGGTTACAGTTGCAGTACCAACCACGGAGGTAGGCTGAGCAATTGGATGGCAAAACCCCAGTGCGAATCAATTCAAACCGAAACGCCCGTCAAATCCCACAACCCAATACTTTGAGGCCCCAGATTAACCAACCCGGCCGAATGCAGACAAAATCCCAAGTCCTTTTTTTTTTCTTTTATTTTGTTCCGTTCGGTCCCCACCTGATGTTTCTCCGCCAGGTGATACCTGCGCTGCAGGGTAGGCTTTCTGATTGGCCGTCTCCCCAGCCTTATGTTTATCTTCAGAAGCTCAAAAGCGGATGGTCGTTTCGTAATGAAGTTCCTGTCGCTATTAATCCGGCCAAGCTAGCCGATGGGTCAGCCTGAGAAAGGGACCTTTGCTTGGATTCAATTGTTGCCAGCACTTGACGTTGCTAAGCCGACAAAGGGAAGAAGGTGCGAATGACCAAATGCGGTAATTTGGCTCGTTATTTTGCCTTACGGCGAGTACCCAAGTACCTTTGATTCGGCACTAATTCACACCAATCTGGGCTCAATCCCTTGAAGGGCCGAAGCCAACAGGAGGCGGGTCAGAATTCAAGAGACGTCAGGTACCTGCGTTGTATGCCTTGGGACAGTATCCGTCCCTCGATGACACAGAGCCCTATCGGCATTTGGTAATACAGAACGGCGCTCCTTCTGATGCTGTGGGTGTCAGTATAGTCGAGACACGTCGAGCACGGGATCATCCCGAACCCACATTCATCACCAAACGGTCAGCTCACAGATGTGCAAGATTTTTTTTGTCGTGCAGTCCCCGTTGCGTGATCCTTGATGACTCTCACATCTATTCCCACATGCACTCATTCTGTTCAGCTGCTATGAGATTAAAGCCAGTGCGCTGCAGCACATCTAACGTGGCAGCAAATCAAGCCGCCCATGCGTAGATGATGAAACAGAGCTTGGGGGCAGGGAGCTAGACCGAACAAGTGCGGGCTACAGATGAAGACAATAGCGGCAGGGGTTTGGGCGACGACTGCGGAGCATGGATCTGGGTTCCCCCAATGCGTGAGGGCTGAGCATTGTGCAGGGGGTGTCTGAGGGGCTCTGAGGGAGCGACCGTGATCCATCCATAACTTTACTGCGTCCGGATAGAGTAAGGTAGTTTACCTTTCGCAGTTAGCCCGGCACACGATGAACAAGGGAATGGCGCCAGGTGAGTTGGACAAATTGGCTCTGAAGGTAGCAGCCGGACGGACGAACTACTAGAGGCTGTCGAAAACAAATCCGGGAGAAGCAAACAGTACGTACCCTGGAATCCACTGGTGCTGTCCTGATGCTACCACACATCCCACCCACCCAGCGCGAGCCAACCATTTGCTTAGACCTCTGACATGCCGTATGTATCTCACTTGTTACGTCGTCATGGTGAGTTGGCGGCTTGCCTTCACCCAGTACCACGATGACTACCGGCCCAAAGTTCCCTTTTTGGAGCACCAGCATAAAGGCGGTGCTGCCTATTGGACTGCCCTATGATATCCCATCCTACCCTCTCGTGCGTCTCAAGATGACGGGTGGCAGCACTGGAACCATCCAATGGGCGATGTTAAACTTGACCTACAAAATCTATGCCTGTGCAGCTGAGTCCTCGACGGCAGCATTAGCAGCGTGCCATTGGGGGCCGCTCACGACGATACAACGAGAGTACATATCAAGTCGACGTAGTCCTGCATAACACGACTTTATTGTTGCTATTAACAGCAGGTATCGGGGGAGAAAGGCCGTGGGCGCAGCTCAAGATCATCCACCGGCCGACTTAACACCGGCCGCGTTGCTAGCTGCCGGCTGGGGCCGCACCCTGGAGACATCATTTCCGCGCCATTGTTCAAGCTTCACTCGTACGCAATGGAATCGACACTAGGACGGGTCGGATTGAAAACCCGCGTCGCTACTTGCGAGTGGTGTGGGCAGGCCGACGGAAGGTGTGTGTGTGCAATTTAGGGACCGATTAGCTTGGGGTTTGATCGTAGCGCCGTGTCAAGAGGTAGGAGGTGGCAGATTAGCACCTACCTTGTTTTCTTTAGTGAGCACCTAGCTAAACTGAGAGCTCGCGGCCCTGCACAGAATGTTCGCCCACCCTCCCCTCACCTCGCCTCTGCTTCCTCCCACCACCAATATTATCACTGCAGGCTGCAAGAAAAACTTAATACCACCCCCGAGAGAACGATGACACTAAAGCCAAATCGCAAAGGGCGGTAAAGAGCATTGCCTTAGGTCGCCTCACCGTCGCATTTAGAAGTGACTTGTTTAGGTTGTCCGCACATCTCACATCGGAGTGGCGTCAGCCCTTTGGATCCCCACACCAGATATGCGTCGCTCCCTTGCAACCCTTTCCTGTACCCATCGCAGTACCTGGTCGTTCATCTCTGCCACCGGTTTCAACCCTACCCGCCCAAATATGCCCGGCTTCAAACGTGGAAGCTGGGCAAAAGTACCCCCCAGAGGCGATTAAATCTTGGGCCTTGATTCATGAATCTGGAGCCTGGGCCTTGCGGGTTGGTGGTCCGCGGCCCGGATGCCAATGATACGAGCAGGGCATGTATCATTTCACTATGTACGGTCGGCCGTTCGTTGCAGGCTCGTCTGAAGCCGGCGGCCGATCCAGCCAGTACGGCACTTAATCATGTCAGTAAGACGAGACGACCCCTACTGGCACACTGCTTATTCCCATTGGCCTGCACTGCGGCACTTGCCAGTTTCCGTTTGAAAACAAAGATATATGCCGAGCCAGTAGAGGAGAGCAAGCCACGGCCGTCAAGCACCGCCGTGAGGGGGGAAGCAGAACCAAAGCAGGAAAGACAGGACGGGCAATGCGACAACTCTCATCTCCACCTCGCATGAGCCAGCAAGTGGGCTGACCAGCCGGCCAGAGGCCTCTTGGACTCCGGGGAAACCAGGGAGAAAGAACACAAGTACAGTTTCACGCGCACGTTCAGCATGCCCGTTTGCCTGACCATTGCCTTCTCTAGCACGGTGCAGCTCGAGCCAGATTTAGGACTGAGAATCATGCCAGTATCGGCCGGGTGGTCGGAGGGTGGTGAACCTGAGTCGTTTAGGGAGGGCAGGGAATCCCTCAGAACGATGTAGCCAGAATGACAAGGACCCCTGGCTTCCTGCCCACG